GTAAGTATAAAGGGAACTATATCTTATAGACCTATTAATTGAACTGCTCTATATACTCGGGTTTCTAAAGATACGCCTAGCTAGCCTTTTCGAAGATTTCCGGGTTAATACTCGATGTTCTTATGTCTCCGAACAACCTTCTACTTAGACTCCGTAAAGGTAAGGACTAGGTAGTAGTACCCTATAATGAATTCCTACTACTAGGATTCGGAGAGGATGAATCTAGCCCTAATCGTCGTCTAGGACTCGATAGGCTCGAAGGTAAGTATGCGACCTCCTCTCGACGTTGTCGCAATCTCGCTCGTATACTAGACTGTTTCGACTGTCGTCTCGTTGTTACCCTTCCTAGTATAGCGCCTAGTATATAGACAATGTCGGTCGGCATGTTTTAAGGTTTCGTACGGTAAGGTAAGGACTTAGGAGTAGTAGATGTATACTAGTAGCTATAGAGAAACACCCTTTCTTTTATAGCATCGTATCGTTAGGAACAGCTAGGCAGTAAATAGCTAGCTACCTTTTTTTTTTGTTTCCTAGCTACCCAACTACTAGATTTTTTTTCCTAGCTACCCTAGCCAGCCTAACTACCAGAATTTCTTTCCTAGCTACCCTAACTACCTGATTTTGCCTTCTATACGCGCTCTCTCTACTAACGGAACCGAGCTACTATACCTAACGAATCTAAGCTCGTTTTTAGTCTTAATCTATCCTCTTTCGGTATAAGACACTCGACAAGCAAATGCTTAGGCCGAGTCTAACTACGAAACCTAAGACTAACTAATAGCTCTAGTAACCAATCCTAATCCTCGAACTCCTTCCGCTTCTTAGTAAAGACCTTAAAGAGCGCTCGAGCTTCTTCGGGTACCTACGGAGTAGTCGAGATAAAGCCGTATCGCTGAAATAGGTAATCCTTCGGAGGCTTATATAGAGATTTAGAGAATTCTAACGCTAACCTATCCCACTAGCAGCTTAGATTCCGGATACAAGCCCTCTCTGCCTTAGTAAAGATTTCATGTAGCAGTAGCACTCTGCCTTCGAGAAACGCTTTCTATTTAACTGTTAGTATCTGCCGGCTACGAACGCCGGCTATATATACCGAGTATAGAATAATTACCTGTACCCCTTCCTCCTATAGTAACACTTCTGCCGTCCCTAGATACCTAGCCCCGATCGTATTAATCGCAAGCTACTTTGCCTTTCTAGACGTAAAGGCTTCGCTCTAATACTAATAAAGAAACTTCTACTCTATATCGAGGATATAAAGACGACTAGTCTCGATTCCAATCCTTGCTAGCTTTTCGTAGTAGCTTTAACTATAATTTTCTAGATTAATAGGACTTATACCTTAGCCCTTTACTAGTATCTCGTCTCTTTAACTATACTCGATCTACTCCTAACGCTTATCGTCTATAGCGTTAGGCCCTAAGACTGTACCTATTACTAGATCGACGTATAGTATCTCCTCGCTTTTTTTAGTTCCTTTATTCGTAGTATTAAGCTCTATCGCGGCATCCTAAACTCTAGCATTGTTGTTCTCGGCTATCTAAATATCTCCGTTACTATCGGTCGTATCGATAGAGGTAGCGGCTATAGGTCTAAATGCTATTAGTTAACGTGTTAAAGAAAAATATGCCGGCTATAGCTACCGGCTACGGCTGCCGGCTATAGCTACTAGCTACGGCCGCTAGCTAGATTGACTTACGCTGCTAGAACTTTACGCTCGAAAACTAGCCGCAATTCTTTCCTCCTCTTAGCCTTCTCTTAGATTGTCTTCTTATTCTAACCTTCACTTTTTTCTATAGGCGCTAGCTATCGATAGAATGCCTTATTCCGCGCCTTTCTTCTCTTATCCTTAGCTCTTTTATCCTTATCTATCTTATCCTTTCTCTCGCGGTCTTATACGGAATTCTTCTTTATAGAGTACTCCTCTTTAGTTTTGCGCTTTTTAGTTAGACGCTTAGGCAAAACAAACTCGCGGTCTTTAGTTCTATCTTCTGTTTAGCGCGCGGCGCGCTTCTCTCTTGCTATTATAAGGGAAAGGGGCGGGGGCGTAGCGTATAGTAGTTATTGTCGGTATAGGTATAGAGGAAGAAGTTAAAAGTGTAAGAATATCGCGAAGCCCTAATTGTTGCCGCCTACGTAACGTTATATAGGTAAGCTTTCGTAACTACGGTAACTACGCCCCGGTAATAGCAACTACGCCCTAGCAACGGCAACTACGCCCTAGTAACGGTAACTACGCCCTAGCAACGGTAATAAAGCGTAGTAAATACAACCTAGTAACTATTATAGCCGGCAATCGTAGCCGGCAGTCGAATAAGAGTGTCCTTATAGCAAAACTACGCCCTAGCAACGGCAACTACGCCCTAGCAACGGTAACTACGCCCTAGCAACGGCAAAAGAGCGTAGTAAATGTAACAGAGTTACTATTATAGCCGGCAATCGTAGCCGGCAGTCGAATAAGAGTGTCCTTATGGTAAAACTAATATAGTCTCTAGTTTAAACTAGGAATCTATATAGTTCGAAAAAACCAAACCGGAACTAGGGAGCTAGTTCGCCGCTAAGAAACCAAACTATATACGTTTAGTAGTTCGGAAACCGAACTACTACGGGGTCTATATATATATACCCTTCCTAGCTACGAGAACTATAACAACTACTACTATAGGCCTAAAGGATTGCTAGATATCGATCGGTACTATTACTAGCTCTATAGTAAGGCTACAAAGCTATAGTCTTATACCCTTACTACGAAGTAAGAAGGTGTAACTGTTAAGAAGCCGCCGTATAGTGTATTAGCGAAGATGTAGTTATATAAAGAGAAGCAGCAATCTCGCAAACTAAATAGTCTACTTGCCGCCTCGAAGGAGCTATAGACACTAGTAGCAAAGGCTCGCTCTGCGCTAGTTTATCTACCGCCGCCGCCGCCGGCTATTAACTATATTAAGCTCTTCGAGACTATGTTTAACTTAATTAATTAGCAGCTAGGCGTTGCTTCTACCGCTTAGCAAGAAGCTTAGCCTATACAACAATAATAAGAAGAACAAGACTTACCTGTTCTAAAGTAGGTTGCTTAGTAGCTTAATACTCCGCTAAGAAGTCTACTTAGACAGTTCTTTATATAGGCAGCGATATAGCATAAATAGAAAGAGCCGGAAGACAAAGAACAGCTCTTAAAGATAGAAGTATACTTTATAACTAAACGATATAACTGCGACTAGTTATATTAACTTCCTTTAAGAGAGTAGAAGGAGCTTAGCTTCTATAAAGGTAACCTAGGCACCTTGCGTAACTGTTTGAAGCGCTTCTAGAAGGAAAAACTGTCTAAGAAGGAGTAAGAAAATAATAATATTTATAACGGAGCGACGGCCGCTTTTATTAGTTCAGATTTGATAGGCGTTTATATAGTAATAGCGAATTGAATGGCGTTCTATTTGCTCCATTACGTATGTCTCTATTACCGTCGTTACTTCGAGAAATTCGGTAGTATCGAAAGCTAGTAAGACATATAAAGCTTAGTATACGCACTAATACCTAATTAATTTTGCTATACTAACACTATACTAGTTATATATATAAAAATCGCAGCGGAGCTTTAGATACACGTTATCTTAATATCCTACAGATACTAAGATATATTATCGATATTGTAGTAGTTAAATCTAAAGCGACTAAAGGTTGCTAGTAAGCTAGCTTTCCTCGTTAGTCTCGAAGCCGTATACGTTATAGCCGCTATGTTTAAACAACCCTATAACGTCTATATTGCTAACATAACTAAGAGCCTATATAAGGAAGTCGTAGAAGGTCTCAAAATCTTCTATAAGATCTTTGTTCTTCTTAATCTACTTCTTTAGTATAGCGAAGGTCTGTTTAATAGGATTTAAGTCCGGCGAGTATAGTAGTAGATACTTAAGGGTATATCTAGCTAAGCGGATTATCTCCTCGACCTTCTAGCTATAGTAGATTAAAGCGTTGTCTATTATAATAATTATATTATCGTTAAGAAAAGGTAGCACTTTATTCTTAATCTAATCGTTAAATGTAACCTAGTTAACCGCGCCTTAGATATAGAGAGTGTAAGGCAAGTATCTATAGATTGTAAGTGCTAGAAGTACCGATATTCGCTCTTGCCGTTGCGTATACTAATAGTCGTAGCAATCGACACCCTTTAGAGACTATCTATATTTGCGGTGTCTAGTCTTCTTATTAGAGGCAGTCTTATCGATAAATACTAACTTATCTATAGGCTATTTCTAGCTCTTTATATACTAGGCCGCTCTTGCTAGCGCACTACGTTCTTTAGCAACTTTACGAGTAGCCTTGCGACTCTAACCGAGTCTATATAGGTAGCGCTATACCGTAGAAGGATCTAATTCAATATTAAACTAGTCGTATAGCGTAGTATATATTTCCTCGAGATATGCCTCTAGCTTTACTAATAAGTACTTAAGTAGGAAGATTTCTATCTCCTTCGTTATCCTCCTCTTACGACTCGATTTAAACCTCTCCGAAGGTAGGAATACCTTACTAAATAGGCTATAGTAGTACTTCTAACGATATATAGTCGACTAGCTTGTATCTATTTTCGCTATTATTTTAATTACCTCGTAACCGCTATCGAAGTATTCTTTAGCGAGTCGAATCGTATACTTAGGTAGGGCGGTAGGAAGGGCTCGGGCGGCGTAGAAGAGCTAGAATAGATAGAGCAATAATAATAACAATACCTTAAACTATATATTTAACGGCTATACTAACAACCTGTATTTTATCGTGTTTAAGGCTATAATCGCGCAAGAATGGGAAGAAATAGGCGATTTGCTAGTAAATTCTTAGTAGGGTTTCCCAAGTCTTGGCATTCTCAACCTTCCGGCAAAACACAGTACCCTGACATTTCCGGGGGCCTTGGTCCATGCGCACGATGACGTCGTTGCTATGACCAGGCCCATGTGAAGACGTATAGCTTTCCTCCTTGCAACACGCGACACAACGTCCTAGGAGCATACCTCGCGCGAATCTGGGTCAGGCACGAGTCTTCTACATCCACCCGCAAGATAACGGCTATTCATAACCAAAGCAGTTCGGCACCATCATGTCTGGTAAGCTCCGGCGCAAACATGGGTACTGACGACAGCAGAATGCTAATGTAAATACAGCGCCGCCAGTCGACTACTGTACGTCCACAAGTCCGAAGACTTCGAAATGAACATAAAATCTAACGAAGCATAGACGCGGCGCTAGAAGTCGACTCCAAAGCCACACAACAACAAATCCGAGATGCCTACAAAAGGTTTTCCTTCCCATACGCCTTGCCTTCATTCTGCAATCTTCCTAACCATATCTTCCCTACAGACAAGCCCTCCGCCACCACCCCGACCGTGTACCCGCCACGTCCCCCGATCGCCAATCGCGCACAAAAAAGTTCCAACAAATCAACGACGCCTACTACACCCTCTCAGACTCCAACCGACGAAAAGACTACGACCTAACCCGCAACCAATTCCACGGCTTCCCATCCAGCAGTTCAGCACCCGACCCAGCCGAAGAGGAAATCCCACGCCCGCAACCCGGCTCCTTCCCATGGTCGGCCTTCGGTTTCGGCGGCAGCGCAAAGACCGAAGATGACGCAAACCGATACTCAAACGAACAATTCGGGTCGGTATTCGAAGAGATGATGAGAGACGAAGGAATGGCGGATTCGAATAATTCGCCCACAAAGGTTTTCTGGTCGATTGTGGGTGGGGTGAGTGGTGGGGCTATGGGGTTCATTGTCGCGAATGTGCCTGGAGCGCTTGCTGGTGCTGTGGCGGGGAATAGGCTGGGAGCGATCAGGGATAAGAGGGGAAAGAGTGTTTACAGTGTTTTTCAGGAGTTGGATCAGCCGGAGAAAATGAGGTTGTTGAGTGAGTTGGCGCAGAAGGTTTTTGCGCATGCTATTAGTTAGTAGCGAGGCGTGGGGAAGAGCTTGGGAGATGGGAAGGGAATCGGAATGATTGACGGATTTGCTTGTGTTTTGTGAGAGCTAGATACCACGACAGTACCCTGATACGGAGTAGGCGCAGAAGCCTGGATGCGAACGTATTTGACTTGCGCTTCATCTGTGCTGCCCTGGAGAACGACTCCGAAATCTCGCCCAAGTCTATATCGGAAGGTCCATCTCAGCGACATGGAATCTTCTACATGTATCTTTCCACCTGCTCGCATGTCTCCGGTGTTGTGACTCTTCGTGAACTCATGCCATGGCGGCCAGCATGAAAGGGTTTTCTTTGCGTGTCGTACGCAGTGTGCCGCCGTGCTAGGCTCATTGAAGCTCAGACTCTGGAGGCCTGTTTTCGGCCTTGTCTTATCCCATCTCACGCAACCAATCTGCTTCATCTCTCAATCTTCTGCGTCTCTCGTGCCAGCAACTCCTTGGCGGCAGCAATTTCAGCCTCACTGTATCCATCCCACCCCTTCTCTCCAGCTCCCACGCGTCTCACAATCTCGGCCAACTTCGCAGTGGCAACCTGGTTCAACTTCCTCACACTCTCCACCTTCGGCAACGCAAGCTCCCCATCAGCCAGTGTAGTCGACTGCACATTCTTCCCCGTCCCCAAAACGTCCAATAATCTCGTCGTAGAAATCTTCAAACCAAAATACCCCCTCAAATAATCATCACAAAGCTCAATACTGCGACAAAACCTCCTCATACTCTCACTCAGACTCCTCGCCACCTCTCCACTTTCCTGCTTCTGATTGGCAGAAACGTATAGCACTTCTCCCATCTTCGCCTGCATATTCCAAGCATTCGGCATCAACACCAGCACCTCTTCCAAACAGAAGATCGCCTGCTCATACATGCCCAATTCCACATACAAATCTCCCAACTCACTCCACGCCTCCGCATCCGTGGGACTCGTATCCACGAAATTCGTCAGCGCATTCAAAGCCTGTTCCGTTTGTCCCATACTCCTGAGTACCGCACATCTCCTCTTCCGAATCGCGAAATTGCTCGGATCTTCTTTCAATATCTCCTCGTAATTCTTCAGCACATCGATGAGTTCCTGTGGTGTCTTGGCTGTGGCTTCTGCCCAAAGACCTCGAAGTGCGGCTATGCGTTCGTTTTCGAGGCCAAAGCGGTCGGTGAGGGATTCTAGGAGGGCGTAGGCGCTGTCATTGTCGCCTGAGCGGAGGGTTGCGAGGAAGAGGTTTTCGGTTGCGGACCATTTTTCTAGGGACTCGGAGTTGCTGAAGAGGGAGAGTGGGTAGGGGAGTTGGAAGGTTGAGGTTTGGGATTTTATGAAGTTGGGTGCGGATTGGGAGAGTTTGAGGGTTGCTTGCGGGCGGTCGCGGGTTGGTGGTTCAAGGAGGGCGGTCGACATGTTCGATATGTCGTGTTTGTTTGGCGGTAGAAGGTCGAGTTGGGATATTCGGTTGGTCGTTGGTCTGGAGTCGCTCACATGCTGGAGCTCGATGAAGGCCTCGGCTGGACTTGCCGAAAAAATGGTTGTCATGGTCCAGCTGCTGCCGACTTCACTCCTCCAGTCAACTTCAATTAAGCAGCAATCAGCCCTCGTCTCATCGCACTGGCATCTCCATCTCCACCAACATGCGAGTTGCCATCTCCACGCACAGCACGCTGCTATACCTCAAGCTGCGGTAATGCCTGCATCGCAAGCTGCCGTAGCCGCCTTGCAGTCCAGAATATGGAACGGATCAATACCGCTGGAGATTCGGCTGGCCGCATCAGATTGTCGGACTTATGACAAAAGCGAGCCTTATTTCGTGCAGTATCCTCGACTGTCGTATCTGGCCTTTCTGCTACCGAGACTACACGCCAATTTCGTCCCGGACCTGATCAATCCGGAAGTTGGCTTTTACGATGCTTGGCTCTCGTTCGAGGATGTTCCGCTGAAATGGCATCTACCCGCAGGCCTATTATATGACCTCTTTGCTGGGGTGGAACCATTCCCGTTAGATGCATCGAGCAAAGCCGAGGTCAGCAAGTCTGCCAATCCGGAAGCTGAGGCACCTGCGAGCGTCGAGTGTCTTCCGTGGAAATTGACAGTACACTATTCCGATGTTCCAGACGGGCAACTTATACAGCTTGATCCAGATTTGAGAGCGATGCAGGATACATTCATCAACGCTGTCAAGGAAGCAGACTACGTCAGAAATGGGACAGCCAGGACGGTCATGTCTTTGAGCAAAGACGATTCCGACAACTTGTGGCTTGCAGTTCAGAAGCGTATGCATGCTCCGAACCTGCCTTGAGTGCTGATACTGACGAACACAGACAACCGTGACATGTTCAATGTCGTCAATAACAAGCTGCTGAATCCACCAGGAATCGAGCTTCGGCACATCCCGGTGAAGATCTATCTGCCCACATCAGCGAATCAAGACACCACCGACACGATCGAAGAGGAGCCCAAAGCTGGTCAGCTGCGAGTCGTTCAGTCTTTGGTGCCTCTGAGGCAGGAGGATAAGAAACCCCAAACGCTTGGTACGGCTCTTCATGGTATATTACCCACGATCTTTCCATCGCGGAGGAATCCCATCTACGCGAGTGCCGTGCTGCATGGAGCCGTGGTACCATTATCTGCCCAGATAGATGATCTGGGAAAAGCGGCAGCTTATCCAGACGGATTTTTGCACGTGGCGTTGGTCATGCATGGCTGAGTAGCATCGGAAATCTCGTCATCGCACCTCGAGGTGAGATGTGATCGATCTCGCTCCATATCCCATACGTTCGTATCTACATGTTGTTGACAGATATAGCCGCTCGACTTTCCCTTCTATCGCTGGACTTCTACGATTATTTGCGGCAATGACACTACTCTCAAGAGACGAATTCCTTGCTCGACTTCGACCAGATTACATTCCCGATTGCCCAATCTGCCGAGATATCGCGATCATTGCGTGCACCACGAGTTGCGGTCACATCTTTTGTTTCAGATGTCTCAGGCGGTGGCTGACAACGGGCCACCACACATGTCCATCCTGCCGCAATGCATTGTTCGAGGATCCTGACGCACTGTCAGACAGCTCAGGGAGTGAGCAATTGTATCCAGAGAGAAGAGAAGACGACGACGAATCTGTATTGTCAAGTCCGAGGTCTGAGCCGATGGTGTTTCCTATGGATTTGAACTGAGTTGTTACCAAGGGGTTGAGTCAAACATGTCTTTGAGATATGGCTATTGTGTCTCGCATGCTGCAAGCCTCATGGTATATATTCTTCCATGCGAGCTGATCTTGGATTGCAGAAACAACGCTCACACGGAAGCTCAGTGCAACTTTCCAACATCTTAACACTGTCGTGCCATCTAGCACTCATCCATACCTCTCTACTTCGTAATACGGTCAAGTCATCACTGCGCTGGCGCAATGACACTCCCAACGAAAGATCAATTCCTCGCTAGCCTCGAACCAGACATCAGGCCTCCCTCTCCTGCATCTGACTGCGCCATTTGCCAAGGCGATCCCCAAGCACCGACCACCACCGAATGCGGACACACGTTCTGTCTTCTCGGGTTGATAATATGGATGGAGCGCACAAACACATGTCCGCTGTGCCGCGCACAGCTTTATCGAGAACCTGCATCAAATCCAGCAGACTTCAGAATTACTGGTCAGCCAGTGAGTGGAGCACAAGTCGGTCTGATGGCATTCGGAGGCAACGACTCCTCCAATGAGATATTGCAAATTGTCAATACCTACATCGTCCACGGCTGCATAGAACCAGACTACCACGCTCGGAGCTATGTCGCCTTCGATCAAGCCTTCATGAACCACAAACTGGCAGCTTTAATTTGGACGAGGCCATCGCAAACTGCATATGGCAATCTCTGTGCGCATGAATGGCATCTCGTGAGCGAGTCAGTCAACCAAACAGTACATCGCCTACACGATCAGACTCCGACTGCACTTCAATTATTCATGGAGCTGGACAGCCACGCCAGGAGCGCTCTTGGGCACCGATTTCCGGACTATGGCGTGGTGGTTGGCACACCTCACGATAGGAGAACCTTTCGAGACGACATGTATGACTTCATTCGTGCTATCGTCAGATTTGCTCAACTGAGCTACGAAATCAAAGCCGAGCGTGGCGACTTTGGAGAACAAGGCCACAACAGTTCTGCTTCAAATCGACTATGACGAGCAACATCAGCCACCCTACGCACCTACTTCCTCAATTTTTTCAAGCTCTCATGCTTCAAGTCCTCATAAGCAAGCTCTCCCTCCTTCTCTCCAAGTTCCGCCTTCATCTCCACAACTTTCTTCACTAACACATCCAGAAGATAAACCTTCAGTTCGTCATTAGTCAACACAGCCATACCAGCAAGGTTCTCGAACCCCTCAGCTCTCCAATCTACCGGCACATCAGAGTTGCCAAAGTCCTGAAGTTTCTTGTGGACCTCCTTCAACTTTTCTTCAGTCTCTTCGAATTCGTTGAGAAGATGGAGTGCGAGGTCCTAAAGATTTGCTCAGATAAGTTTTGGAGCGGAGAAATGGTGTGAGCTTGCTTACTTTGACGAAAATTTCTGGGATGTCGGATCCAGTCACTGTGATGGCGCCGGGTCGAGAATTCTCAAGCTTCTGGTTGAGAGAGTTCCAAATGGCTCCCAGTTTTGGGATCTGTGGTGGTGCCATGATCGTTGCTATGCAGACTTTGGCTTACTGTTGAATTGAGATGGGAGGTATGATCGAAAATGGACTTTTTGTATCACTGTCGCGGGTTTGCTGCCGGTATAAGGCAAACAAATAAGGTCAAAGTACCATTGATGTCCAAGAGTAACTATTCTGGAATAGCACGCTACATCAAAGAGACGATTTCTGACTGAAGAATAGCCGCTCAATCTCTTTCGCCGAGTGCCAGACGCTCTTCAGGTCACCAGTGCTTGCCATCACACTCAATAAGTTTGCTTGCTGTTTGGAGACCAAAGATGACGAAAGTAATTGAAAAGAAAAATCGTCATGCATCAATCGATCTGCATACTCCAAGCCATCAGCATCAGCATGTACCGTCCTCAACCGCCGCCCATGGATGCCGACGAAGTTGAAGCAATCTTCGAATCAATCGACAAGAAAATCCAGCAATCCACACCATCCAACATCAAAGTGAGAACATCAGACATCCCAGAAGACGACACAGTCCTCTCCGTAAGACCAAAGTCCAAATTCTCCAGAACGCAGAACTCTTATTAACAATCCTGTACAGATTCTTCACCTCCACCTCTCCAGCATGTCCCAAGACCGCGAGAAAAGACTCAGTGACCTAATCTCTCGCATCAACGCCCTTCGCAGCAAACTCGACGATAAGCAACAACCAGAGGAGCAGATACGTACTGACCGAAGTCGTCTCCTGAGTTTCAAAGAATTCGATGATTTGTCGATAGAACAGCGTCGGATTTATCTGGCGCATGTTCCTGTCAAAGTGATTGTAGATTTGGATGATGAGATTGAGGCGAAGAGGAATGTTCTGGGGAAAGTTGAGAGGGATTTGGCGACGAAGGAGTGAGTGGAGACGCAGTAAGGAGTAGGAGAGGGGATTAAGATGGAGCTGTGGAAGCCGTTGGAATGGGATTGGGATTTTTTGTTCCCGATGCTCAGGTATTGGAGGTAATCAGGGCAATGTGAGGCTGGTAAAAGAGTCGAGAGCGGATGTGAAGTGTCAGGAATAATCTCATAATGTGTCCGACCAAGTCAGATGGAGGCTTGAGGGGACATCAATAGGCGTGTTCTAATGCAAGCGGCAGTCAATCCAAATATGGGCTTAGGAAGCTCGATGTACTCTTGAAGTAACTGCGCGATCGATTGTTCCATAAATATTCTATCCATCCTTAGTACAGTAGGCATGAGACTTTGGCATCTCTCACTTCAATATCCACCAATCATGTCAGTGCACTGGAATGGGGTGGGGCGCTGACATCAAGCGCCAGACTCGCTTTACCTCGGAAGGTAGTGCCACTCCATCTCTTGTAGGTCTTTCAACGAAGACCTACAAGTTTTGATCGTAATTAGGTGAATGCCATCGAAGAAGAATTGGACTCACATCAGCTAGCATTGCTAAGCATAGCGGCTGTATATAACGCATACCACCGACGGAAGCTCCGAAAATCGCACTCGCATATATATCTCGCATTCGGCGCGGGTGGTCCAGGAACTACTAGATACAGCACAGACTGGTCTATATCAATCCCCGGAGAAAGTGAAGAGCGAATATCCCCCAAGTTATCAGCATTATCCCAGAGACTCGTTGCAGTACCAAACAATCAAGATGTCTTCCAAACTCTTCCTCTACGACCATCCCATGTCATCCTACGCCCAGAAAGTGCGAATGGCACTTCGCCACAAAGGCCTAGCATTCAAAAAAGAAACGCCCGAGAACCTCGGAGCAGGAAATCCAAACACCGCCTTCAAATCCGCAAATCCTCGAATGGAAGTCCCAGCTTTGATCGATGGCGATTTCAAAATTTTTGATTCCACCGTCATTCTCATGTATCTTGAAGACGCATATCCTGATACCCCATCCCTGTTTCCGGAAGGAGGAAATGATGCAAAGGCAAAAGCGGAAGCTCGGATGATTGAAGAAATGCTTGATACGCATTATGAAGCGATCAATTGGGCGTTGGGGGAGATTGGGTGGTTTAAACGTGCTGAAGGGGCTGAAGCTGAGCGATTGAAAGCTGCAGCTAGGGAGCAGATTCAGCAGATTCAGGAGTGGTTGGCGACGAAATTGGGCTCGAAAGCTTTCTTCTCTGGTGAGAAGGTTGGGTATGCGGATTTCGCGGTGGCTCCGATCTTGAATCGTTCCGTTATTAACGGAGATGGGCCAGCTCCGGGTTCTGCTTTGCACGCTTGGTGGAAGCGATGTGCTGAGGTCCCGGCGATCAAGCAGACTTGGGATGAGGTTGCTGAAGCTGCTCCGAAAATGGCAGCCATGGGGCCTGAGGCTTGGAAGAAGGGTAGTGGTAGGAAGAGGGAATATAGAGATCATCGATTGGAGTTTTTGATCAAGAATGGTGGGATTGGAATTGTGCAGAAGGGTTTGGAGGATGATAATATCAGGTTTAGTTGGCCGCAGCCGAGGAAGGGTGGGAAACTGTGATCGTGATCGATTTCTGGAGCAAGTCTCAGCCATGCCTTCGATCGGCGTCTTGAATTATCTGGACGCGGTCAATTGGCGTATCGTAACTATTTAGTTGGTCTCGAACCTCGCAAATATACTGATCAATGTATCTTGCAGGAGTTAGGTGTTGCCCAAGTGAAGCGCTTTCACCTCAATACCATTCATAGGCACACATGGCGACTACGAAGATGTATCAGGTGACCGATCATTCACTCAGACAACGATTGCCATTCTCGAAAAGGTGGGGCGTGGTGATACCGAAGTGGACCAGAAGAGATTCGAAAACGACATACACCACTTGATACTGCCGGTTGTGTAGATGCGCGGCCAACTGTTTTAGCTATCAACATCTTCCTTCGCGCTATGGAAAGCTGCGTCCGAAGATGAGTCCTCCTGTTCCTTCTCAAGCACTTTCCGTGGGACTTCAAAGATGACGGAATAGTTCTTTCCATCTTCAAATTCCCTCCATCTGCCAAGCCTGTGCTCTTTGCCAACGGCTGCGATGACGATGATGCCGTCCTTTGCTCTTTCGCCACGATCCTCTATAGCCAGATCGTTGATGACGCCTTCGACCAAGCCGTGCTTCTGCGTTGCATCTGTGATGTCTTGTAGAGCACTGTTCGTGAGCGATCCCGCACTGACTCCAAATTCGTCAAGCAGATTGTCCACGGAGCTGTCGATGCGACCCAATCGACCTAAAGACTCGATTCTTCGCTTGTCGGATGTGATCTTCCACACTCTGATATATCCGTCCCAGCTTCCCGTCACGAAAATGTCCGAGAAGGGTATCGCTCGCAATGCTGTGATCCATCTTGGCGTGGGCTTGTTCCTCGCATCTTCAGGCGGCTCTTCTTCCGCACTTAGCTTTGTCAGAGGTAAAGGAGGGTCGATGCCGTGAGCGAGTGGGTATGTAAATACTGGCTTCTTCTTGTGTATATTCCAAAGCGAGAGCGAGCCGTTGTCCGAGCCAGTGATAAAGTTTTCGTCGTCCAGGCAAGCTATGCGATCCAGCGAGCCTTCGTGCGCTGGGTCATCGCCCCAGAGGTCAACGGCGCTATCGCTGGGAGCCGATTTTGATTTTGCCTTCGGTGCACCTCCACCTCGAAACACAAGTTGCGACTCTTCAACAACTTTCCACAACCGTGCAGTCCTGTCTCTCGAGCCCACCGTTACGCACTTTTCCTGCGCCAAGGCCGAGACATCGACGACCGAATCCTGGTGTCCGTACAAGGTATCAACATATGTGAGCTCATCCAAGGACCAGATCTTCACATTCCGGTCCCGGCCTGCACTGAACAGCTGATTCGTTCCTCTTCGAAATGCCAGACTTTCCACGGAATCTCGGTGCGAGTTGTAGCTGAACACTTTCAAAGGTTTTAATGTCGCAGCATCCCACACGATCAGCTTCCTGTCCAACCCGCCAGTCGCCACAAACTTTCCATCTTGACTTGCTGCGACACACCGAATCGCTTTTGTGTGCATTTCCTTCTCATCCCGTCTCTTGCCAAAAGATCTGCTTACGGCCACCTTTTGCGGCTTCCTGCTCCTGCCCGGCTCAATATCGACAGGAGGAAGTCTCCACTTGACCAGAATCATATCATTGCCCACAGTGTATGCATAGTCCCCCGCTATTGCGACGCCAGTGACGGCTTTCTGATGGTGTCGAAATTGTGCTCGGCCAGCTTTTGACCAGTCAAAATCTTGGGAGATCCAGCGATAGATTTTGCCCCTTGTCTCCGCCGTCTCCTCTTTCAGCCTGTCTCCCATACGCTCCGCCAGTAATTCCTTGTCGATTTCTGCAGCATCGAATCCAGCTTCGTCGATGACTTGCTGTCTGGTGGAATTCAGATATCTTTCTGCCAGCGCGATTCTCCTCGCCGCCGGCTCTAACCCTTCTAGCTCATCATCTTCGCTCTCGTCCCCGAAAAAGTCCTCGCCGCCTCCCCTAGTCTGACCCTCATCGTCCTCGTCATCACTGCCACTTATTGATTCGTCGCGAGCTTTTCGCGTTGACTGTGTGGCTGCTCTTTTCTGTGGCCGCGCTGTAACATCATTCGTCGCCCTTTTCCGCTTTACCTGAGAGGCGGGCTTGGTGAAGAACGACGACATACTGCGAGTGTGCAGAAGTCGAACTTTTCTCGACGGGAAGCTTGAGAAATGCCATCGCGAACTTTTGGCATTGTTAGACTTTCTTGCAGATGCCGACGCGCCGACTCCCGCAGAGCCGCATGATGACTAATTCTCGTGCCGAAGCCTATACGAACGCGACCTCCATCGTTTCTACTATCACATCCAACATGATCAAACATTCCTGCTAAGGAACCTCATAGCTGAGACGCTTCAGAAGGTCTTACTTCTTCCTATATGCTGACAGTCATCGCGCCAAGATGACCTTATCTTAGGCATGGGCCGACGACAATTTTTAACGCGTTTGGCCCTAGGTCGCTCGGCCTTCGAAGCAGACGTGGAAGAGCCCACAGGATCAAATGAGTCTCGGGGAAACTCTGCCACTGTACAGGATGATGGCACGACCCAGCAGTACGATGGCAAGGGCAGACAGGTCAATCCTGAGATAGATGCCTTCAATGCAGAAATGCGAAAGGCTCAGAATGAAGTGCTAGCTCTTGTCGGCGTAGTCGAGAGGAAAGACCATGTGGATCAAGTCAATGAACTTCGCTTCAAATACATTCACAAGCATCGTCAGGAACTCTTGCATGAGGAGCACGAGCGAGGCGACCTTCTTGAATATGTCTTCATCCCTGTCAGGTTCTTCAGCCATCTATGGACCGATGCTTTCAGACAGCGCATCCAGATTGGCTACTACGACTCTTCTCGGACCATGGCAGAGATCTTAAGCACAGAATGGGCAGCCATGTGGCGAGGCGGCACGAAATGGTCTCTGGCGACTCGCTTTCCTGCTCTAGGCGACACCATTGCCCACATCTGCGTCAGAATACCTCTGCTCCTGGTCGGCGAGCAACTGACTGGAACCATGCAGAACGCAGTTCTCCGACGAAAAGGTATCACGCGCAAAACCAGACAGAATATGTACACAGCCATCAATGTCCTTTTCGAGAGCCTGGCCTTGGGAATCGACATCTTTCTCCTCCCCATGGAATTCCACGCCTGCGCCCAGCAACTCGGTCTCGCACCGGTCCTCCCACTCTTTCCATCCTGGACGACATTCATTCCCTGGCACCCAGACAGCTTCCACAAATTCGGCTGGAAACCACTCGCCAACCTTGGGATCCTCAGCTCGCTCACATCACCAGCGGTTCTCCTCCTCTTCCACAAACTGATCCATTACGACATCGTAGACTACGACATACCCATCTTCTCCCTCCTAACCGATTTCCGCTACCCCCCAATCACAGAAGAAGTCCGCGACGTCCCCGTACCAAAACGTCTAGACATTTTCGGCTGCCTCATGCACTACTGCTATACTCTCCGCCAGCACATCATGCAATGGACAGGCTGGAACGTAATCACACGCGAAAGAAAACCAACCCGAGCAAAAGACTACGAAAACGACACCGTCATCCCAACCCCCCGAACCGCGAAATGGCCAATACACAGGAGTACAGCCCTCGCCCACCTCCCCGCCCAACTCCTAGCCGAATTCCTCGACGAATTCTTCTCCCGCATAATCTGCCTCCCATTCGAAACCCTAGTCTCAAGATCCGTAGCGAAAAAATTCTTTTCAAAAAACAACCCACACCTCTACCTCCCCTTCGGCGGCGGTCCAATCTCCAGCTTCTGCCGTTCCCCCTCATCCACAACATTCTCAAACGCGGGGAAATATCTCAGTCGTCTGGGACTTTCTATCGCGCTTACATGCACGCTTGATACGATACTTTTCTTCGCCGCGTATCGTACGGTCAGGCATATGGGTGTGGAGCATTTCGATTGGGGACGGAAAGGGAGGATTGGGAAGTTGATTTATACTGAGGAGGGGATGGAGGGGGTTAATGGGAGGGATTTGGTGGAGGAAGAGATGGGGTGAAGTGGAAGATGCTTTGAAAACGGTACGCTGGTATGCAGGGTGGAGGGATTGAGATGAGGGTGGAAATTGCAATTTCACTGGTCCATCGGGGGTGTGCAGGAGGATCTCCGTGGAGATGGAGTGACGGGTAAGAACGTGAGGATATCCAACTTCAATCATCTTTTAGCACAATCCGTACCGGACTGGACGTGGACACCGCAAAGCAGGATCCAGATGGAGCGAATTGAGAGATGTGAGCGATTTCTAGTTCACTTCAATGAACAAGAGCGAAGGACGACTCCGTGAGTCTGTGGCCCTGTATGAACATGCTGCAAGAGACAGGTGTCATGGAAATTGAAGTTGATGGAGAGCAAGTATGCAATTCTATCAGACGCCACTTCAGGTATCGGCACCCCAGAAAACGCTACAAACACGCGTACACACTTCTCCGGACATTCTATGCAATCGCTCCGCCATAATTTTGCAACGGAGTGGAATCCTCAATCAAGCACGAGAAAGAATCTTGACCGCCTGTGCCAGGCTCGTGATTTCCTTCTTCAGCTGGGCCCTGGTGCGCTTCACCTCAGGCAACTCGCCAGCAATCTCCTCCAAGTCGGTCTCCGACATCTGGCCTACCAGGATAGGCGAGAACAGGGCAAGTGGGCACTGATCGCTCGTGAGGAGGTAGTGGTTCGTGGCCTGCTTGCAGACGTTGTCGACAAAGGTCTTGCGGGTGACCTTGTAGTACCTGTGAGGGGCATGTGAGCATTCGACTCCAACTTGTGCGATCAAGACAGCACGCGTGTCTGTGACGTGATTTGCTTGGTTGGCGGGGTCAAGGTCGACATTTGCTGGAGGAAACTTACGACTTCAGGATATCATGTATCTCTTGGACAACATGCTCGTCGTTACTCATGTCGTTCACCTCGGCAGCTTGGTCCACACGCACGACCTGAGTGCCTTCCAGCTCGAATGCCTTCCGCTTGAGACCTGCGTGGACCTTTTCGTGTCGTGTCTTCTGCAGATTGTCGTTGAAATAGTGATTGAGCGTGAAGGGCGTGTCAGTGCTCTCGACTTCGAGCAGAAATTTGGCGGCATCGAGCGACTTCTGGTAGCGCTTCAACAACTCATCGAGCAGGATCTGCATCAGGGCTTCGCGAACATTGACGTCGCCACACTCGGCTTCCAGAGCGGCCACGATGAAATTGTGTACCATGACGATGATGTCGCTCACGTAGGCCAGGCTCATTTCGGCCCATTTCGATGATTGCTTCTTCATGACGGTGGCCAAAATTGTGGTATTGAACGTGCCAAGCTCGAATCCTCGATTGTTCTTGAAGACGTACGTCAGCCAGCCCTTGATGCCGCCCTTCTCTGGATAGGCGATATGCGACGCCGCTTGCAATATGTCCACCAGTTCCACGGACTCATTGACAATCTTCCGGTTGGGGAAGCCTTGTTGCTGAGGGCCTCTGCCGACATTTGCGAGGGTATTGTTGAAGGGCGACGTGGTACCGAACGCTGGCTCACTGGCTTTCTGCGGCTTGGCGCCGGTGGCAACCGCGATGGGGCGTTGTTCTTTCCCACTGTGGTCGAGGAAGGCATAAGTATGACCATTTTCCGCCATTTCGTCGGAAAACAGCTACGAAGACGGTCAGCATGTCGCCCCAAACAGCACTGGCTATTTGGCACTCTTTGGCTTGACTGCACGAGTCCAGCGCTGCAGCGGAGGAATACGGCCACCTCACCTTCATTCTAGCCATCGCGGCAGGCGCGATGCGTAGTTGTGGTCTCGTGCTGAAGGCATTGTCGGCACCGTGATTCGCTGACAGAGCTAGAGAAACAAGGCGCTGGAACCGCGTTGCGAGTTTCGTCAGGAAGGCCCGCTGGTCGCTGGAATCGGAGCGCTCTGGGCCAAGAGTCTCCAGTCGCGCGTTCCGGTTTTCGAGCCTGTTCTTGATCTCGGTCCTCACCTAAAGCGCTCAGATTAGCAACAGCTTCCACGAAAGATGGATCGCTACGCACCTTGGGGAACTCTCGCTTGACCAGCGACGACAATACATCCTTGAGTCGCACGCGCAAGGCATCAATGCCAACCTTATCCTTCTCGATGGTGTTCCATGGAGCTTGTGAGCGGAAAAAATTTGCCTCCAAGGCGCCGCGATCTAGACCCGTATCTGCCATTTCCATTTGACCTGGGTTCCTGATGATGTGCCATCCGAGCTTCATAGGACGCGCGCGACCATCGACGAGGTCGATCACGCGCGGTTCAGCGCCCTTGTCAACCAGATCCGGCTTCGTGAGTACACCTAGAGTGCGGTCTCCATGCGGGTCGGCGTCATTAGCCAATTCGAGAATTTCCTGCGTTGCGACGTCTACATTGGCTGGGATGACTGCGAGCATGACGGAGCGTGGATTGTCCATATAGTTCTTTACCATGTTCCGAACAAGGTCGATGTCTGTCTTAGTGGTGAGCCCGACGGTCGTAGACTTGAAGATGCCAGGGACATCGATGACGCTCAGGTGCTCTTGATCTGGTCCGGAAATTTCGAGTCGCAGCACGTCGTTTGAGAATGTCGGCGGCTTGACTGGACTTGGCGCACTGTCCTCCGTGTCGCTGTTGTCAGCCTTGAGCCCCATCACCTCGTGTACCTCGTCCATGATCTTGATGAAGGCCTTCGAGTCGAGCTTCTCGACGGCCTTGCCCCAGCCTCTGGCGCGACTGGCATGCTCAGGCTTCGCGTCTCGAGATGGAATGATCGAGACGTCTATTTTAGAAGCCGGTGCGCGGCGGAAGACGATCTGGGTGGCGAAACGCGTGCAGAGGCCACTGTCGCGAGGCAGTGGCTTCTTGATGAGACCCTCGAGCACGCTGCTTTTGCCTGAAGACTGGTCGCCAACAACAACAATCTGTGGAAGGTCGACCAGCTCCCCGACGCCACATGCAAAGAGCTTGTCAATCTTCTCCAGCATGCGTGGCTCTCCGAGCCCATAGTGGTCGGTCGCCATGGCTCAGGTGAGGTGAGGGCGATGGAGGTGGCGTGTTGAAATTGAAGTGGTGTTTGTGTTCAAATATCTGAAGAGACGCGGAAAGCCGCTGCGGCCCGCTTTCACCTCACCGGTGAAGCAAACTGAGGAAGGTGCGGGAAACAACGACGGCGCACTGAAGTGATGTCGCGGAAGCAAGGCTACGAACAATATGACAGCCTGAGACATCAGAGCGCAGCAGGCTGAGGCTCCAAGCGCCAGCCTCATAATGAATGAGCACGAAGTGAGGGCTGCATGTGATGGACGAGCAAGCATAGCCTCGCCATTCTACCCTATATCACTGAAAATGCTGCTACTGTCTTCCCAGCTAGCCAGCATATGGAAGCATGTCACAATATGCTCCGCCTTGGAAGGTCTTGACATTGGCCTGCAGACTTACGACAGGTCTTCGACTTCGGCCATCTTACCATACTTCTACGGTGTCCTTATGGACTGCTCCCTGCGCAGCCATCAGAGATATCTACTAATCCCACAACATCTCCGGCGGGGTGCAGCAACCTTGCAGGCGCCAGGTTAAGACCCGTTGCATGCGCACTCTTGCACTCGGCTCTAGTCAAAGAACAGCTATCGAGAAGGCCCATCTCCATCAAAGAGAGCAGCGCAAATCGACAAGAACCAACAACAGGCTTGAGCATCCACATTGGAGTGGTCCAGGCGGCAACACTCATTCTGTACGAGACGTCAGAAGGCCTTAAGCACCATCTGTAGCTATCGATCGTTCTTCCTCCGCTGCTCTGGCCTTCTCTAGATTCATCGTGTCAGCACGCTAGCGATCCTACTCCACTCGCGTCCATGGCACTCTACGCGAATGTGCTTTGTCTTCAGAAGCTGCTCCGATGCAAGTGCATTCCCATCTATCCTGGCCTTCAACACAATAGTGCTGCTTTCTCGGCGAAACTGGGGCTGTGCGATCGATCAACAAAGTCTGGTAGCGATGGGCGTTCGCACACGTTCCTCGGCAGAAACGGCCGCCTCTTCTGAAACATCTGCTCCACTCCCACGTCTGTCTCAGCCTTGCCAGAATATGCTTTTGCCACGTTGGACGATTGATCTACGTTGCGCTAAGCATAATGCGATCTGACAGCCGGCCATGCGGTGCGCCATGCAAAGATACGCGAGCTCTTCTACGATGAGCGAAGATACACTTCAGATTAGCGAAGTCCCGTCCATGGCAGGGCAAAGATCCGCACACTCCATGGCGATAGTTCTTTACGTCGGTCAATTAGGGCTTGAAGAGAGCTTTCCCCCTACGGAAAGTGTGTCCCTCATTATCGCGCATTCCGCTCATGCTGCGACACACAACTTGGTGACGCTCATCCTGGAATAACTTCGGACACAGCATCACTCATAGCAGGCCTGCACGTCAAGTGGATGCCATACGCTTCAAAACGCTGGACACCATTCTCACGCGCGTCAGAATGGAAGCAGCAGAGATTCTGTAAAGGGAAGTTCCCCGAGAACGTTTTCGCGTAGCTCTCTGCGACAGTGTCTGACCTGTACCAAGCACATGCAAAGTTCTGTCAACTGCCCGCTCTACCAAACATTATATCCCCGCAATCTTGGTAGATCTACGCAACGATCTCGCCAGACAGCGATCAGCGCGTGTTCTCGTTTCAGAACTGCACTTCCAATTGGAGGCTAGGATAGACTTTGTACAGCTAAGCATGCATGTGATCTTCACCAGTCCTTTTTGGTAGGTCCGTGCGCACCCAGATTCACTCATCGCAAGCGAAGCCCGCGACGACCACGTGCCTAGCACAACATATGGAGAAATTCCATCTCGTCTAAACCCTTTCAAAGTCTACATACACGCGTCCAAGGTCTACCTACACGATTCCAACGTCTACCCACATGCTCCCAACTGAGACACTTCCTCGCTTCAGCATCCCATTCGACCTGAACCACATCCTATCCGGTCGGCAAAAATACCTCTATATCTGAAACCACTTAGCTCTCCATTCCTTCAGCCATTGAAAACGCATACCAACCACGACCAAGATGTTCAGATGACGTGACATCACAGCGGTATCCATCAACTCAGCCCAAGAAAGCATCATGATCTCCCAGCCCTTCATGCGAGCGAGAAAGGGTATATAAGGACCGTCACAGTCCTACATGAACAAAAAATCATCAAACAACAACAACACCTCATCATCAACCCAGAAAAATCAATCTTCCCAACCCCCTCAACCCAAACAACCAACAAAATGCAGTTCACCACCCTCATCATCTCCCTCATGGGCCTGACCGCCCTCAACGCCGCCGCCGTCCCAAAGACACTCGAAGGTAAAAAACTTTCCCCACCCACTCACTCCTCATCCAACACTCAAGTTTGTACTAAAATATATATATCCCAGCTCGCCAAGTCTCCGGCATCATCGCCTCCATCACCGCGACAATCTCCAGTCTCGAGGCGACTTTGCAGACAGCTACTGGTGACGCTGTCGGCACTATTCAAGACTCTATTGATGGGTTGCAGGATACTCTTGATTCGCTTTTGGGGGCGCTTTAAGTAGGGAAATGTGGAAAAGGAAAAGAAAAACCAAGATGGGGATAGTTTTGGATTTGGATTTGGATTTGATTTGACACGATCGTTTATATAATGTCGAGACGAGAGAAATGCCAGGGCTGTGATGTCGAGATTGATTTGATTTACTTAGTGTGTGTTTTTTTCGCGATGAATTAATTATGTTTCGAGAGAGAGAAAAACAAAAGTTCTATTTCCTTTCCCCTTCTTCCCAATCCTCCAATCCCATCCCCCTACTTTCCCCCGGTAAAATCAAACCCCAAACATCCCACCCCAATCCCTCCCCCAACACCCCCATTATCACACTTATTGTAAGCCTCAAGCATAATCTCTTTACACCTCACCCCATCCTTCCCCAAAGGTTCCGCAAGTCCCTGGATCTCTACAGTAGTAGTACAATCCTTCGTCCAACTCACTTCATAACCGCATGAGATGTCGTCATCGCTGTAAAAGAGTCCGGAACAGGGTTTAGAGGAATTGTTCAAGAGTATGTGACCGAACATGTTGCAGAAGGTTGAGGATGTGTGTTTTACGTCGCTTTTGCTGATGTCGGCGTGGCCCGGGAAGTCGGCTTCGTTGTGGCAGGTTGGGGGTTGGACTGTGAGGGGCGTGATAGATGTTGAGGGTGCTGCGGGCGGTTGGGTTGAGGTTTCTTGTGGTGGGGCCGATGTCGATCTTGGTGCGGTTGAGGTAGTTGAGGTTGATATGATGCTCGGCGTTGATGATGTGCTTGTTGTTGCTGTTGTTGAAGAGCTTGAAGATGTGGAACTGCTCGATGTAGCGGGTATGCTAATGGGTCTGCTTGGTATGGCAGAGCCGGACGTTGAATGGCAGTTGAGAGTGAGAAATGAAAGTAGGAGTAGCATTTTTGGCGAGCAACGGACACCAAATGAAGCATTTGACTTACTTCAGTCTGCAATATACCAGCGCAAGCATGTCGTCCTCCGCATGGCTTTTGCTGCCCCAGACACGAAGGCCATTTCTGCACTCTTCGCATAAGCTGAATTGGACTGATCTCCAGTTCCAGCCCCAAACTCAACTCGGGCGCCTCGCTGCTGTGCCCCCTCCGTACCAATTTAGTTTGGCACGCGCACATGCGAACTGTGAAGTCGTGTATGGATGTGAAAGAGGAAGGCAGGCAGGTGCTTGTGCTTGGCAAGCCGAGTGAACAAGGCGTAGGGGTAGGCGCGCGCTTGCGCTGGCTTCGTTCCACCAACTTCCCGGCTCTTTTCTAGCATATTGGGCGTTTGGGCAGTCCTTCCGAGAATAATAAAACTACGCCGCACATCTGCATCTTCATTTCAACCGTTCCACTTCGCTTGCGGCCGTGGGCGAGGGCAGCGACCAGAGGGCGAAATCCAAGCGGCTTCCAGCATTTCGCACCGAATCCAGGATGGCAGAGGGCGAGGCAGAAGAGTCCGAATGGCGCGGCGAATGGTATGATGATGATACGCGGATGGACATATATGCATTGTTTGTGATGGATGATGTTCCAGCAAGTGTGAGTGGTGCGAAGTGCAACCGCAACCGCCAAGTCTGATTACTAAGCAAGCTTATCCATCCACTGCAGACCGTGAACGAAGTCCTGCGCAGCAACAATGAGGACAATGGCGACTGGTATCTTTGGGTGGTGGACGACATCCACAATTTGCCGGATATGAGAGGTATGGCGGTGTCGGGTACACATGACCATATGGACGAGAGCTGGCGCTCTCCATTTGCAGAAGATGTTGTCCAATTTCAGGACATTAAACAGTGAGTGGCAGCAAGACCAATCATCAACTCCACTAACAAATCTAATAGGAGTCTCACATACCGTTTCGCGCCGTTCAATAATTGTCAAAAGGATGGTCGTCAATTCCATATGACTAACCTCGTCCAAGTGGGACCGCAAGCACACTTTGTCGGTAGACTTGAGTGGCCGTACGATGCGACGAGGATGAACACCCATCGACTCGACGGGGAAACTCGGGACATCGAGCAGTTCCACGTTGACCTCAACACCACAGGCGAATCCTGGGAAAAGGTTTCCGTGGACATTTTCGTGCATCGCAATGGGACAAAGGTTCATCTGACTAGCACCAGTCAACCTCAGGACTTCTGGTTTGCTCAGTCCATCGACTTCAGAGGCGACTTGCCTAGAACTCTAACAATCACGAGGCTATCTCACAGCTGTGATTCTGTGGGATTTTATTATGGTGATCCCTTCGACGATGGGTACAGCTGGTTCTGGTTCACCTCGGATGACGAAGGTATTGGTGAGTGGGCTTACACCAATGGAGGTAAGAACTCTAGAGCGCGATACTGTCAACAGTGAGCTTTGACCGACGATCAACAAGCGATCGTTGGACGCAGAATGCTTCGCTCTTTTCCCGGCTGGTGAAAGGAGCTTCATTGTCACAACTTTAAATATCTTTGGCTGATCTTGACTGCCTAAAGAGTATATCTGAACTCTGTTAAACCTTCCAGCACCTTTTCGCCGCGATCGGCTTTTCTGTTCTCCAGCTTAAGTACGATCACTGTCACAGCCGCGAGCGAGACTCCAAGTACGTTGACTGCTATCACTGCATATATTCCTGGGAAATAGTCCGGCGCATCCTACGATATCGTCAGCAATGCATTCCCATTCACTCTATGACTTCGACTTACCTGCTGTCGAAACACAAGCGATGATAAATCCCACTAATTCCAGACATCATGATCGCAATAGCAGATGCCACTGATCTTTTGCCATCGCTCCGAACATTGTTTGCCAACCATGCCAAGGATCCGACTACCAGTCCAACAGCGCCTGCATGTCCCAGAAACGTCCCAATATACCTTCCCACCGAATTGTTCAGGAATGCTGTCAGACACAACCCGAATATCCCCAGAAGTCCCTGTCCAATCACGAATACTCCTCGTTTCCGGATCTTGTCCGACCACCCGGAAAGGACCATGACCTCCAGTGCTGCGAATACCGGAGGAAATGCTGCGAGCAAGAATGACAGCTCTCTCGAGAACCCCAGGCCATTTCGCAAAATGATTGATTGGCAAGAATAGCCCGAATGCATAGATTCCTGCAGCGCCGGCAAAGTACATGAAGCTGAACGACCATAGCCTCCAATCCAGTGCTGTAGTCCGCACAACTCTCCAAGTTGTCTTCTCGGCATGTTCATCGCTGCCACGATCATTCGCCAACCGAGCAACCACGAACGCTTTCTCTTCTGCCGAAAGGAATTCATTGCGATGCGAGTTCGGAAAGTCGACGACAACGAAGTATGCCAAAATTGCTATAGCCATAGTAATACCCCCCCCTCGATGATATACATCGTAGCTAGTAACCCGCGAGATCTGGACCAGTCCGAGAGCAAATATATTCGCAAATCCGGAGACCGGGGTTGCAGTTACGAAGAACAACGACAAGCGCTTCTGAAGCTCGTATCGCTTAGACTAGCTCGCAATTAGATATATATATCTAGGATAATAGCCCGCTTCTAGGACCCTAAGGATAGCGCGAAGGATAGCTAGTTCTACCTAAGTTTATAGAAACCTAATTCCTAAACTAACGCTCTATAAGCAAGTACTATTATAGAAAGCTATTCCGTAGGCCTAACTCTTCGAATTACGATATTACCTATAAGTCTTAAAAAATCAATACGTCTTAGACCTAGAAATTATAAAATCGCTATTCTACTTACTAGGAGTCTCGAACAATATATACCCTATAAAAAAACACTAGCAAAGCTATACTCGCGCGATTCCTAATATTTAACGCAAGATCCTCGTCTAAACCTAAGATTCTCGCTACTAAAATGTTGTTCCGGTCTACGAGTGCAATGCAATATAAAGCTCCTAGTATCGGTAGAAGTCTTCGATCGACTTTTCGAAGGACTCGTTTTTTAAAATTTCGGTTATAGTCGTTTAAGGTCTCGATAAAGGTAATCTCGCGGTCCTCTTTAGTTGTCGTCGCTATTACTCGGCCGTTAGGTAGTTGTTATAAGGGGAGGATTTCGAGGTTAATAAAGCCTAAAGGTAAGCGGTAAGCTGCGTTTCTTTGTCTTAAGGTACAGCCGCGGTTATACGGTTAAGCATTTCCTCTAGGACATCTCTTCGGATGAGTGGTCGTTTGTTTATAAAATGCTTAATTCGTGTAGTGACGTTCTAGGGTGCCCCATTTGGGAGTCTTGGGTGAATATCGCGTACGCCCGTCGAATCAGATTATCGGATTTGATGTTCAGCTTCGGCTCTTTGGCGAGCGGAGCCTGGCCGACGATCTCCCTTTTCCTGCTGGCGTTTTCGCTGAAGTCCTTCTTCCTTCACCCAAGGCGGGTTGATATGGCCGCACTTCACGGCCCCTTCGAGATATTGGCACTCTTGGACCTGGATCTTAATCTTTCTTCTCTCCGGAACATGAAATACTGCGCTCGCTAATCGAATGAGCCGATCCTTCTGATCATAGGATCTCGATCACCGGGTCACTCACATATCAGCTAAAAACTTTATCCAACGCTTTTCCAATCCGACTGCTATCAGGATCTGGTCGAAAACTGGCAGTATACTCTTCGATTTCCAGGACTCCAGTAACCAAATCCACTTCATCAGGTTTCAACCACTTGGTGCGTTTGCAAAATTTCCACCCAAAGAAGATAAGAGGAAAGACTCCAACCATCATGTATTGAAAAAGGAAATCCGGTACGTTGAAGTTATCGTCGATGAAAATACTGTAACCCGCTGCGAGAGTCACGAGAAAACACGCAGCGAGGCCGAGCCACGCAGCGTAGGGTTGGAAGGATGCTTTGTGAGGTAATGTATCGCGAGAGAGACCTTGCGCTTTGCAGGCTTTCTGGAAGCGGATGTATGTGTATGCGATGACGCAGAAATTGATGAGTTGACTCGCGGTGACCAGGTTTGTGATCCATGTCAAGACGACAGAGGCGGAATTCGAGACTTGCAGGAAGGCGAGACCTCCGAAGCACAGGACGATGGTCACGCAGACATATGGCACACCGTATCGCGTGCATCTGGTCAGGAGACGGGGCGCTTTTCCTTCGAGAGCCAAGCCGTATAAACTTCGTGTTGCGCAGTAAGTGGTGCTAGACATGGATCAGTAACGTTACGGACAGGCACTGAATAAGGAGCAGGAGGAGGAGTACCTGTTGCCTGCGCTGAATGCCGATGTCAAAATAAGAGCATTGACTATGTGAGGCAAAACAGGAATGCCCAAGATATCCATCGAGCGTACAAACGGGGACGCAGCGGCGCCTGCCTTGCCATTTGAATATGCTTCAATCAGTTTGCGATCATTGTACGGCACATTGACGCCCACCGCGAGACTTCCCAGCACGAAAAATATCGTTGATGCTTGCTGTGCATATCGAGGGAAATGGGATGGTGAGACGGATGAGGAGTACTGCTATTCTTGGGAATTTGCTCAAAGAGAGTCTCGGGTGTCATCCCCTAGTCGGTGACATTCGCGGTCGCGGACTGTTCTGGGCGGTGGAGTTCATGCTTGATCCGAAAGAGCGCAAGGAGTTTCCGCTTGAAGATGACTTCTCTCAAAGAATCGTGCGCCAGGCTCTTGCGGGTCAAAGTCTACAAGTCTTAGCAAATATGGGACATCCTGGTACCTGGAAGGTCGACTCGGTGGTGATATGTCCGCCTTTCGTTGTGACCGAGCCAGAGGTGCAGGAAATTGTGGCAAGACTCGAGGCAGCCGTCGATGTAATCTCTGCTCCTTACCTAGCAGCATGAGAGAGCACTTCCAGACTATTTGCACGCGAAAAGTCTCACCCTTTCCTCCAGCGTAATCGTCTTCTTCTCCACAGAACTCCCATTCATCCTCGGAGTATACTCCAGCCAACTGTTCACGATCCGCTGTAGTGTTCCTCGATCGCCATATCCATACCCGACGTAGCCACCTCCTCGCGATGCATACAGAAAAGATGCACAAAACCAATATCAAAACGCCTCCCACCCCATCCCACTCCTCTCCCTCACGCATCTCTCCCAGCAACCCGTTCCACGACCTTAATCGTAAACCCATTCACAATACCAAACTGCACCACACCAAAAGAAATCAGCACGACCAGATCCCCAACCAAAACCGGCGGTAATTTTTGTTTCACTCACATGACAAACAGGAAGATGTTTCGCCTCATCCCCAACCCCATCACAAATAATCCGTCCACTTAAAAAAATCCTCTGCCTCTTCGCCGGCAGGCGCGTCTCATCCTCAATAAGCATCATGAGTTCGTTAAGCGTAGTTGAAGGCGCGACGGTGAGGGTCAGGCGTTGGACGCGGAGGGGGTTGCCGCGGACATGCAGGTCGAAAGTGGGTTCGCGGACGTAAGGGTTTGGGTTTTTCTGAGTGTCGATGCGGGTGGGAAGGGCGGCAAGAATTGCTTTCTTGGTGGTTGAGACAATGTATTGTTTTTCGGGCGCGTCGTCGCTGTTTTTGATCTGGAGCAGGGCGTCGAGGTCGAACGTGATGGGTACGGAGAGGGTGATTTCTGTGGCGGGAAACATGTTGACTGCACTGCACTAGATTTTGATAATTCAGTTGGCATAAGTGGTGAGTGTCTGATTTCTGACTTGGCTGCATCAAGTCTTGCGAGAGCTGAAAGCGCTTGCTAGAATCGGAAGTCGCGTGAAAGGCACAGGCAGCGGCGACACAATGAAGCCCCGCAGGAGGGGATGGAAGTGGAAGTCGCGTTCTATTCATGTCAATGAAGTGATAATTTACAACTGCTCAGCAACATCATGCCGAAACGCATCTAATTGACCTGCTCAGCGAAAGCACCCGGCGTGAGAGCACTCTCGCGGATGGTGGTAGCATCGACGGCCTATACAGCAGCAAGTGGAGCTTCTGTGTCGGTAGCGTCGCTGTCGAAGCTCAATCCTCCAAATAATGTACTGGTCGAGATCATGCCGGAACGCAGTCTGGGCGACCCGGTCCAGCGAAAGCATCTGGCGTGAGAGCATTCTCGCGGATGGCAGCAGCATCGACGGCCCACATTGCAGCAAGTGGCGCTTCTGTGTTGGCAGCGTCGTGTCGGAGACTTCGTTCGGGCTCGAGTGCGGCATTACGCCATCGTCGGAGCTCAGTCCTCCATCTCCTCGTCCTCATCCTCATCTTCATCCTCATCTGCATCAACTTCACCGAGCAGCTCTCTATCCTCCTCATCGAGTTCCGCGCCGCCGTCGTCATCATCAGGCTCTGGATCGACATCCATCTTGCTATCCTCAGGCTCTGTCTGCTCCCTACGCGCACTTGGTCTGCCAGCGCTGCCACGTTTCTTCTGTACAGCAGCCAGTGCGGAAGGCCCGTCATCCAAAATCTCTACCCCATCGTGGGCCAGGCTATGCTTGCGGCTCTCCCGACCAGGGCGGCGAAGCATGCCTCGTTCTTCCATCCGCCTCCGATTGATGATGGCTTGTCCTGGCAGAGCCACTTCTTGCCATCTTTCCAAGCGCCTGCTGGCCCGCCTGAACGACTGAGCGAGCGACTTCGCTTCTTCTCCAACATCACTAGGCTCGTTCGGTCTCCTGGCAAAACCCGCATACAGCACTCGGGGTCGCCGCCACAAGTCGATGTTCTCCAAATATTCGTCATTCTCCTTCCCACGATGTATGCTTCGCCAATCATCATCATTCTTCTCCGCCCTGTCCTTTGCTTTCTTGATTCGAATCGATTCCTCTTCGGAATCATACCCTGATGGCAGTTCTCGGATCCTCTTCCAGGAGCGGAGAAGGGTGCTTTGTGATTCTCGGAAGTCGCGTGCTTGGTTGTGTGCGTGGCGAAGCCGGCGATCCAGATTGTAGTCAATCTGCATCTTACGGTGGTTGATAACAGCCGATTGATGCTGAGTGACACCGCGATGGCGCTTCTGTGCCTGGTATGACGGGGTAGGTATGTGATCACGGGCAGTCGACGGGCTCTGGAACGATATGTTCTGACCAGGCGACATGCCCGTTGCTGCAGCGAGCGGGTTGTTGCCATAGCTGAACGAGCCTTGTCCAGGCTTGCTCATCGACGTCGGACCATTGTTGACGAATTGCATTTGCCCAGTATTTGGCAAGAGCGGAACTGGTGCTGAAGAGGCGGCAGCTTCCTTTGCAGCATGCATCTCTTTCGTCTTGTTCCGTCTCCAATTCCCTCGACCAGGGCCTTTCTTCGCTGGCGGCGCGGTGGGCGTCGCACGGGGCGGAGAGGGATCTGGACCGGCGTCGTCCATATTGAGGAGGTTGTTGATTCCCATTCCGCTCGGTTTGGCGGCGTTGACGGCTTGGAAGCCACGGGAAGCAGCAGGAGAGGGCGAGCGCGTGTACTCGCTGCCGGTCTCGTGATGCAGAGCGGACTTCCCGACGGATGTTGGGAGGGACCTGTAGTGGCCGGCCTCACTGCCTTCATCGTCGCTGGGCACGGGATTGTGTCCTGTCGTCAAGCCCTTCTCCTTCCGTGCGCGCTTGAGTGCCGTCATCGCGGGACTCGGTTCGCTTGCCAAGATCGCAATTCGCTCCTTCCTCTTCTGCTCGCCAAAGAGCTGTTCTGCCTCTGTGTCCACATTCTCTTCCGCAGCCTGGTCGTCCGTCAAGCTCTCCAATGTGGGCACCTGCATCGGCACGGCATCGGTGCCTGCCTCGCCCTCGCCCTCGCCCTCGCCATATTGTCCTGCACCGAACGGATTTCGCTTGGCATCTTCAACGCTGAAGTCGCTCTCCAGATACCACCAAATCAGCCACAAGAATGCCCTGGCTCTGCTCTCACTGCTCAAGCTCGATCTCATGACGAGGTCGAAGAAATCTCGTGGCGGAGGAAAGTGCACTTCGCTGATCTTGGGTGCATATTGGCTCATGACGAAAATGAGGTTGACGGGATTCGTGCGCGGGATCGAAGCTGCTTTGATGTCTTCCATGGTGCTTGGCTGTGGTTCATCTTCGGTCGCGCCTTTGAGGATTGACTTGAGGCGGGGAGCATCTTGAAGCTGCTTGTATGCGTTTGGGTCTTGGTGGGCTTGGAGCGCAGGTATGGAATGGTATGTTCGAAGCTGTGCGCGCATTTCTGGAAAGACTGGTACGGGTTAGTGATGGTATGAGCTGTGCCTCATTCCTCCACTTACAATTCAGTGTCGTGTTCATTCTACCAACATTGACCAGGAGGCACACCATGGCCATGGTGATGGCGCCTTCCTGGTCTTGCAGCAGCTTCTCCTTCAGAATCTTGCTACACTTGCTGCTCTTGGCCATGGCGTCGATGTACACGTCGGCAAATGTATGGCCCTTGGTCTTGTCGCTGTACTTGGTGAAGCATTTCGTCTGGTCGTAGAACACCAGCTTGAGAAAATCATACTGGATATCCTTGCGCCACAACGGGATGCCATCTTCCTTCTTCAAGTGTTTGATCTTATTGCCCGAGTAGACGGAAGACGTTGCGCCGTTCTTGTTCGTCCTGGTCGAGGTGGTTGTCGCTGTGTACAAGAGTTCGTCGGCATCGTTTTTTTCGCCGTGGTCTGGCTTGGGCGTTGCGACAGACTCGTCGTCAAGCACGTCGGCTTTCCGCTTTGGAGGCATTGGACTGTGGCCAGCGTCGTCGGCGGGCGGAGGTGGTTGTGGTTGCGCGGGCGGGGTGGGCGGTGATGGCTCAGAGGCCAATATGTGAGAGAGGGAGCTCATGCTTTCAGGAGGTCGTCTCAACCTGACACAGCTACACGGGTAGGCGCAATCAGATAGATAAGCTTGCTTCCAGGCGTAACCGTATATCCCGGCATGGCCTTCAGCATCGGATGCAATTCATGGTATGCGACGCGATTGTCGAGGTCGCATTGTGGATGGAACAAGAGAGACGGGGTGGCATTGCGACAGTAAGCGATGGCAGGCTCAATACGTGGCTCCTACGCTCCCAGCTTCCCATCGAATGAGGCTGCGGAGACTGCCGCCGCAATCGGTATTCTATGGCCCTTTCAGCGAGCGTCATCCGAAGCATGAAGCTTCAGATCGCCAAGCATGCTTTTTGCCCACCGTGACATTTCCCCTGCTCCCTCTCTCACGTTCATCTCCGTCCATGGCGAGAAGTGACACATTTGTTTGTTGAGAGATAGTGGAAACCAATATTGTCAACTGGTCCAGGGCGGCACGGAAATCTCACGAAATGGTATAGTTGGGTTGTCGTTGGCAGAAAAATTGGTGCCTTAACTGGTGCCTTGCTTAAGTTGACGGCTGCATCTGCTTGCTTGCTTGCATGCTTGCCTCAGTTCAACATCACATGTGCCACGGAAGCAAATAAGATCCGGTAAACACAAGAGAAGGGCGACAACATCCAAGTATGCCGGCGTTGGCGAAGCAGAACCCGCGCTTCAAGACGGTGCAAAAGTTCAGCCTAGACTATGCACCCATCACCATCACGCAATATGAGTCGACACGCACAGGCATGCGCATTGCCGTCGTCGACAAGAAAGGTCCGAAGGTCGAAGGCGAGTTTGCCTTGGCGACGGAGATCACCGACAACTCCGGCTCGCCACATACCTTGGAGCATCTGGTGTTCATGGGGTCAAAGTCCTATCACTACCAAGGTCTTCTCGATAGATTATCTTCGCGAGCGTTTTCTACAACCAATGCCGGCACAGCTACAGACTATACATCTTACTCGCTCAAGACTGCGGGCTGGGAAGGATTTGCTCAGATATTACCAATCTACCTGGAGCACTTGATCGTGCCCACCCTCACCGACCATGGCTGTTATACCGAGGTGCATCACGTGGATGGGACCGGTCACGATGCTGGTGTCGTATACTCGGAAATGCAAGCTCGGGAAAATACTCCGGGAGATCTGATGGAGCTGAGACGGAGAGAACTGCTCTACCCAGAAGGGAGCGGCTTCCGATCAGAAACGGGAGGTACCACCCCAGAGTTGCGAGTCTTGACGGCAGATCGCATTCGGGCCTACCACAAGGAGATGTATCAGCCCAAGAATCTTCGTGTGATCATCACGGGCGAAGTCGATCACGATGAGCTTCTGCAAATAGCAGACGACTTCGAAACATCCATTATCGATCATGTGCCGAAACTCGAGGCGCCATTCAGGAGGCCCTGGGTAGACTCCAAACCTGCTCCTGCACTCAAAGAAACAAAAGTCGACACGATCAAGTTCCCTGAAGAAGACGAATCCATGGGCGAGATCACCGTTGGCTACGTTGGCCCGAAATGTGACGATTCTGTATCGAACGCCGCGCTGTCTGTGCTTATGAGCTACTTGGCAGGATCACCAATAAGTGTACTTGAGAACACTTTGGTCGAGCGAGAGCAGCTCTGCAGTGGCGTATACTACGAACAAGAGACTCGTCCAGACGTTGTCATCTGGTTTGATCTTACCTCGGTCGAGACTGAACGACTGAGAGAAGTGTACGACCGGTTTGTGCAACTCTTCAGGGAGACTGCGAGCAAGCCTCTAGACATGAGCTATATGAAAGATTGTCTGAAGCGCGAAAGACGTAGAATCAAGGAGAGTGCCGAGAACTCCGAGGACTTTTACACGCAGCCCATCTTGGAGGACCATCTCTACAGCCCACGAGATGGCCGCGCTCTGAAAAATCTGCAAACAATCAGCGAGCTAGACGTAGTCGACAGGTGGTCTGAGTCGGAATGGCGTGAATTCCTGATCAAGTACTTCGTGGACTGTCGCCACGTCTGTGTGCTTGGCATGCCATCGAAAGACCTGCAGAAGAGCAGTGCTGCGGAAGAGAAGGCTCGCATCAAGGCCCAGCAAGAACGCTTGGGCGAGCAAGGGTTGAAAGATCTCGCCGAAAAGCTTGAGCAGGCAAAGAAGGCAAACGGCCAGCATATACCAGATTCTGTCCTCGAGCAGTTTCCAATACCAAGGGCAGAGTCTGTCAAATTCATCAACACGTCGACCGCCCGATCTGGAGCGGCTCGCAAAATGGGGGAAGGCGATAAAGATGCACAGATGATCATCGACAAAGCCGATGATGGCTCGCCACTATTCATCCACTTCGAGCATATTCCGTCCAACTTCGTGCGCGTAAAAGTGTACTTTGGCACTGCCAGCATTCCTGACGAGCTTCGTCCAGTGCTGAGCTTGTACATGGCAAATCTCTTTACCACTCCGGTCATGATCGATGGCAAGCGGGTAGAATTTGAAGACCTGGTATCAGCACTAGAAAAGGAAACGACCTCTTACTGGGTCGACTCAGCTCATGGTGGCAACTCGCAAATGTTGGCAGTTCGCTTCATCACGGAGCCGGACACCTACGAAGGCATCATCTGCCGCATTCGTACCGTCCTCTTCGACGCGATCCACAACCCAGTCCGACTACACGCCTCTCTCACGAAACTCCTCGCTGATCTGCCGAGTGAAAGACGTGCTGGTGACTCTATGGCCTGGGCTGTGAACTCCATGATTCACTCCAATCGGTCCGCCAACCGTCGTGCGATGTCAGCCCTCACCAAGACTCTTTACCTCAAACGCCTTCGCAAACTCATCAAGACGGATCCAGAAGCAGTAATTTCCAAACTCAAGACTCTCTGCTCAGCCCTCCACCAGCCATCGAACTTCCGCGTTTACGTCGCAGCAGACCTGACCAAACTTCCCAACCCAGTGTCAGCCTGGAAGACACTTACATCCGGCTTCGACCTCTCAAAACCTCTGGCGCCACTCGACAACAGCAAGTCAACAATCAGCGAGGTCGGCCTCAACCCCGGTTCGGCGGCGTACGTCGTGCCCATCCCAGCCATAGATTCCTCCTACGCCGTCCTCACATCTTTCGGTCCCGACACATACGAACATCCCGACCTCCCCGCTTTGATGGTCGCAATCGCCTACCTCCGTGCGGTCGAAGGTCCCCTCTGGGTGGCAATCCGCGGCACAGGTCTCGCATACGGCGTCACTCTCCGACGCACGACGGAACTGGGGAAAATCCACTTCTGGATCGATCGCTCACCAGACTGCTACAAAGCCTACACAGCCGCCAAAGCAGAAATCGAAGGCTACGCGAACGGCTCCAAAGAACTTCAAAAACTCGCCATAGATTCCGCCGTGGGAGAAATCGTATTCGAAATGGCTGATGAGGCACCTACGATGGGAAGTGCTGCGGATGAGAGCTTTGCGAGTCAGGTTTTGCGAGGGATCAGTAAGGACTGGAACAAGAGGATGTTGAAGAAGATTCAGGCTGTGAGGATTGAAGAGGTGAAGGGTTCGATTGGGAAATGGTTGACTCCGCTTTTTGATAGGGATAGCGCGAATTTGGTCGTGACTTGTGCTGATGGGATGAAGGATCAGATGGTGGAGAATTTTGGGAAGGAGGGCTTCAAGGTTGAATTGAAAGAGCTTAGTTTCTTCGAGGATGATTATGGGCTTGAGGCACGTGAGGGGGAGGATGAGGAGGATGAAGAGGATGAGGATGATGAGGATGAGGATAATGAGGACGAGGATGGCGAAGATGGCGATAACTAGACAAGATACCATCTATAGCCCCACAACTTTAGCAGAAGTTTTCAATATCGAAACATTAGAATTACTCGTACCTAACCTACTCCTTTAATTACATAGATACTAAGATATATCAAGTTAGCTAGCTAGACGTCTCCCCCTAGACCCTCCTTCCTTCTTCCTTATAGTATTAATAAAGCTAACTCTCTTCCCTTCTACTAGAGGTCTATCTAAGTAAAGATAGTAATAGCAAACCTCTCTACTTCTTCTTAAGATACGATACGCTCTTCTATTAACCTTAATATTACTACTAGTAGTCGTATATATTCTACTTCTTTAATCTTTACCCTATTCTACTATACTAGGATTCTTATAAAGTTCTCTAGCGGGACCCGAGATATAGTAGCTAGCCCCGTTTAGGTATAAAGTATCTAGTCCGGTATTCTAGATTAGCAACTAGTAGGGTAGGCTTTAGGGTTATAGAAGTATATAGAACTAACTTCTATAGGAAGTAGGCTACTAGGGAGGGATAGGATAGGCTAGGGTTTAGAGGTAAGGAGATCTAGTATATACTTGCTACTAGCTCTTAGTGTTTGGTAGTAATAGGGGGGTTGAAGTTGTCTACGTGGTTAGCCATGCCATACACCTGTTGCGAGATCTTCTCGGCGTGACATTGCCGGAGCATTTGGAACGCTGAGCCACAGAAGAATGGGCGGAATGGAATTGTGATGCCGCGGGATTGAATCTCCACATCCCAGTATTCCGCCAACGGCACCTGCCAGGACGGTAGGACCTCATGTTCGGTGCCGTTACATGATGTCTGAAGAAGGCGACTGAGTGCTTCTGGTGAGGTGCATCGACGGTGCAGTACCGCAGATCTGAGATGAGATGTTCATGGCAGGATGCCGACCATTCAGGCACTTGATCATCCTCACAATCCTTATGCACGCTGGCGAGCGTCATTCGTGATCGGCAGGTCAAGGACTCCATCAAGACTGCTTCATCTTGTGGGCAGTGTTCAGATATCGGGCGAGTGCTGTCATGCCAAGGTGGGTAGACCGGCCGTTTTCCGCCGACACTTGCAGGATTTATTCTGGTCCACTGTTCCACAACTTCAAGTCTGTTTGAAGAGACAGATGTGTTGTCAAAGTTCCATCACGTGGGGAACGACGTTGCACCTGGCATGGGCCGGGCCAATGCACACAGCGCTGGGATCAGGATTTCGTGCTGATTTGAAGTGCCCCAGGCCTCGGCGGCGTTCCCACCGCCCCGGGGCAGTGGCGTGGTGTTCGTGACGAGGTGGTGGTGATGAGCGGTGAGTGGTAAGTGGTGAGTGGTGAGTGGTGAGTGGTGAGTGGTGAGTGGTGACCTGTCACTTTCTTCTGGCGTGCAGGACGCGCTAGCCGCGGAAATCGGAGAGTGTCTGCCGCATCCTATTCTACTGCCACTACTGGCGCTGGCCGGCGGGCCCAAGCAAGCGGTACAGCACCCGCACCCGCACCCGGCAGGCAGGCAGGCACAGGACAGCCCAGCCCAAAGCTCCACCGCGCTGCTGTCGCGCAGCTGTCCGTTGCATCGGGCTCACCACCCAAATAATCAACACGCTGCCCTGCTCCGACCGAGTACAACACAACACTCCCACCCACACCCACACCACTTGTTTCCGGCATCGACAGACGTGACGTGGTGGCAGGCACAACCTGGCATTTGGCATTGCACGGCAGCCCGCACTGCTTTCATGTATGAACCCGGCACATGGCCGTTGTGCGCCTCCGTTCGAGAAAAGGCAAATTGACTGGCGCTCGCAGACGCATTTCGCTCTCGTGCTACACAGCAGCAGTCAACGAATCCTGACATATCGCCGCCACGCCGCCTCCGCCTCCGCCTCCGCCTCCATCTCCTGCGCCCGCCACCGACACCGACGCCTCACCCTACCCTGCCCTGCCCTGCCCTGCCCTACCCTACCCTACCCTACCCTACCCTACCCTATTGCCCGATGCCCCACCGCCAGCAGCATAAGACGTGCTAGCTGCTGCCATTCGAAACTTTTGTGACCACAAGGCCAAGATGTGCGCGCATGAGCAAGGAACACTACTGTAGAATACCCTTGAATAATAAAGTGCTGCACTGAGCAAGGTCCGTCGCCGGTCGCGCTCGCTGTAATATCCTAAGCTTATGGTCTTGTGGTCGCGAACGATACCGCGTACCTGGATTGCCTCGAAGTCAAAGATCCATATCGCCCGCCCTGTCTTGTTCTGTCTGAACACCTTGCCGGACCGCCGCTTCACACCACCAACCTACCACCTGCTCACGAAGCTCGAATTCGAGCCCTCTGGTCCCTCCCTCCTTGACACGACCATACTCCTTCCATCACCCTTCTGTTTGCTGCCTCGAGCGGAAGGAGCCTCTGCGCCTTCCCGCGTGCCACGACCAGCGCAATGCACAACCCTCGCCCGCAGCAGAGCCACCAGTACGGCAATCCTCACCCATACCAATATTCTTCCAACGGCATCCACCCCGACGCCAGCCCACAGCATACCGACTACACCAACGGGCATAGTGTTGTGCAGAACGCCAGTCCTGGCGACATGAATCCGCACATGAATCCCTATCAGGCGTATGGTGGAGCATACGGGCAGCCTCCACCTCAGCAACATCAACAGCAGCAGCCACAGCAGCAGAGACCCTACATGCCGCAATCGCAAAACCAGCTGCCTGCATTGCCGGGCATGGGTATTGGTCCGCCAATGCCTGGAATTCCACCCGTAACGGAATCCCCAACTTCACGACCGCACAGCTCTGCTAACCCACTTCAGCCCCCACAGCCATACTCAATACCGCAACCCTCCATCATGCAAGCTCCGCAACAATCCTCCTTACCCCCTCAACCAGGCAACCGACCGGGCACAAACTCTGCGACCGGCGAAAAGAAGATGTCCTCGAGCAGTGAAAGGGATGGCTATCGGTACGCGTTGGAAGTCGTGCAGCAGCCACAGCGCGCCAGAATGTGTGGCTTCGGCGACAAGGATCGCAGACCGATCACGCCTCCTCCTTGTGTTCGTTTGGTCATTACCGGAATCGATGGCAAAGAAGTCAATCCAGAGGACATTGGGACAGATGCGAGCTTCTTCGTTCTCCAGGTCGATCTGTGGGCGGAGACTGCCGACCGGGAGGCCAACGTCGTTCGCGCGAGCAGTAACAGTCCGGCCGTCAGCATCAGCAGTGCCACTACGACTTCCTATCCGCCTCCAGCCGAGCCACCACGCCACATGCCTCCCGAAGCTGCCCAAGTTGTGTACATGGGCGCAGACGGACACCCGATATATGCGGCAGTACCTTCGTATGCTGTTCCACTGCAAAGAACGGGCGTGTATGGAGGTGGGGTGTACTATCCAGGAATGCCTGGGGCAGGAGCGCCGATTGGATACATGCCACCAGCGCAGACGAACAATGCGATGTATACGCGCAATCTCATAGGTAGTCTTACTGTGAATGCCGCGAAATTGGTTGATAACGACAACAAGTCCGGATATTGGTTCGTGCTGCAGGACTTGAGTGTGCGGACGGAGGGCTTTTTCAGGTGAGGGTGACGAATTCCGTCGAAGTCAGTGCTGACTCGTTTCCTAGATTACGTATGAGCTTCATCGACATCAGCAACCGAGGCGCTCCGGGTGTAAATCGTGGTACTGCCCCGGTACTTGCCTGGACCTTCTCGGACAAGTTCCAAGTGTACAGCGCAAAGAAGTTCCCCGGGGTGATAGAGTCTACACCGCTGAGCAAATGCTTCGCTCAGCAAGGTATCAAGATTCCAATCAGGAAGGATAACAAGAATGAGGGCAATGACGACGATGATGCGGATTAGTCAATAAGCGCGAATGGACCTCATCGAGGTGATTGGTCTTTTGGAAACGGCCCTTTGATGTGGGGTGCTGTGTAGGTGCAATACCAAGCGCCGTGGGTGGGCGGAAGCGTCACTATCGAATGCGAGGGCGGTTGCTGGATCTGCGATTCTGAAGAACGACTCGCACCACATGCCGAATGTTGGGTCGTGATGAGGGAGGCACGCGTCACTGGACGATGAGGCGCTTTCGGAAAGGTCTTTGTGACGAATGTGACGGCCGAGAAAAAAAACTTGGTCCCAGTCCAAGATGTTCACGACAGGAAGAGATGCGCAATCAGCATGAGCATGAGCATGCCATCCATGTGACTACTACTGCGGTGATGGCGGGAACTTTTTTTTTCGACTGCATACAGAAACGGAGGCAAAGCGTTTTTTGATACTTGTTCTTGGGAGGCGTTAGTGATTATTACTACACTTTTGGAAATGGATATGGGAATGGAATGGAAAGGGAAATTCATGTGATTGTGATGCTACGTACTGCATCTGTGTCTCTCTGTTCATATCTGGTTCGTTGATGCGGATGCCAATGGATGCGTACGCACTTCTATCGATGAAAGCTGGAGTAGTTATCTGATGATCAGAGTAAGATGCTGTGAGAAGGAAACTTGGCATTTTTTTGCAATTTCGCCCATTGGCGGAGAATTATTATACGAGCGCTCATCAATCGTATGATGTGCGTTGGTAATGCTCTGATATCCGATTACATGCTTTTCGGAAGCTTTTGCCGACGGGCCGCGATCTTCTTGACGTGCTCGGAGCGGAGCTTTTTGTAGCTTGACACGGAGCTGTACGTAGAAACAACCCAGACTCTTCCGCCAAAACGACGACGCCTATTACGAGAGATGCTCCGGTAACGCAAGCCCCGCGATGATACGATCTCGACACCTCCGCAATGTTCGAAAAGGACATCTACCAGCTCATAAGAGGGCTGCGAGCCCACAAAGGCAATGAGCGCGAATACATCCAAGACTCACTGAAAGAATGTCGCAAAGAAATCAAGAGCCAGGACATGGATCAAAAAGCCACCGCACTCATGAAACTCGTATACCTCGAAATGTTCGGGCACGACATGTCGTGGGCATCCTTCAACGTCCTCGAAGTCATGTCTTCGGGCAAATACCTGCAGAAAAGAGTCGGATACCTGGCTGCGGTACAGAGTTTCCGGCCAGATACAGAAGTCCTGATGCTCGCGGAGAATCTTTTGAAGAAGGATCTCAATTCTCCGGATAAGATTACTCTTCAGCTTCCACTCGGCGCCATCCCGCATGTTATCAACCCCAGTATGGCGAATTCTTTGCTTACGGATTTACTCCCGAGACTCAGTCATTCGAACCCCACGATTCGGAAAAAGACGATTGTCACGCTGTATCGGCTTGCGCTCGTATATCCTGAGACGTTGAGACCTGCGTGGCCGAAGATTAAAGAGAGGTTGTTGGATGAGAATGAGGATGCCAGTGTCACGGCGGCGATTGTGAATGTTGTGTGTGAACTGGGTTGGCGGAGACCTCATGACTTCTTACCTCTCGCGCCGAGATTGTTTGAGCTGCTCACTGCTGGGGGAAATAATTGGATGGCGATCAAAATTATTAAGCTCTTTTCCGTCCTGACGACGTTAGAGCCGCGATTGGTGAAGAAGTTGCTTCCGCCTTTGACCAGCTTGATCAAGACTACGCCGGCGATGAGTTTGTTGTATGAGTGTATCAATGGGATTATTCAGGGTGGGATTATGGAGGCGGCAGGGGGAATGACGGATGGGGATGAGATTGCGAGGCTTTGTGTCAGTAAGTTGAGGGCGATGCTGGTGATAGAGGGAGATCCGAATTTGCGATATGTTGCGCTTCTGGCTCTGGCGAAACTTACGACTACGCATGCGGAGCTTGTGGCTCAGCATCAAGACGTCATTCTGGAGTGTATTGATGACGCGGATATTTCGATCCGCACACGAGCTTTGGATCTTGCTGTTGGTATGATCAATGCGGGCAATTTGCAGACGGTTGTGGAGAGGTTGTTGAAACAGCTTAGGACTGCTGGGAAGGCCAGCGTGGACGATGAGCCGGAGAATGATCGTGGCACGCATGAGGGTATTGTTCCGATGGCGATGGACGACGATGATATGCAAGCGACTGTGAGGCCGAAGCAAGCCAAGTCTACGCATGCGCCGCCTCTGCCAGACGATTACAGGAGTTCAGTAATCGAACGCATCCTCGATATGTGTTCGCGCGATACTTACGCCAACATGAGTGATTTTGAGTGGTATATTGGAGTGCTTGTGGAGTTGGTGAGGCAATGTCCTTGCTCTGCCTCTGGCAAGTTCGGGTCGAGCGATACTTCGAGCATGGCAGATGGCATTGGCTCGGAGCTGCTGAATGTCTCGGTCAGAGTCAAAGCTGTTCGACCTGAAGCTGCTGCTGCTGCGCAGTCGCTTCTCCTTATCGATCAGCGCGAGAAGCTTTTCCCGGCTGGAGGTACTAGTGGCCAAGGCGTCCTGGCAGCTGCTGCATTCATCGCAGGCGAATTTGCGAATATGCTACCCGACGCAGAAGCTGTCTTGACTTCTCTGACTCATCCATCGAGCGCGACATTGCCTGCGGAAGCACTTGCGAGCTATCTCCAAGCCATTCCGAAGATCTTTGCGGCATTGACTGGAAGTCAGCAGTCGACTTGGAATACGGCGATCAAGTCGCAGACTACCCTGCTGACGGCGCGAATAACGCACTTCTTGGAGCCTTTGACTCTGCATCCGAATTTGGAGGTGCAGGAGCGCGCAGTGGAATATCTTGATCTGATGAGATTGGCGTCGGAAGCTGCGTCAAATCAGGACGTTGATGCGGACGGTGGCTATGCTGAACCGCCTTTGCTGCTCACGCAAGCGATACCAGCACTCTTTGCAGGCATGGAGTTGAACCCCGTCGCCGCTTCAGCGATACGTAAAGTGCCGCAACCCGAAGAACTCGACCTTGACACCCCCATCAACAGCAGTCTACAGATGATTCTGAGCCAGGCAGAATACGATACAGATTATGAAGATGATAACGACGAAGTATACAGATTTTATCACGAGAAGCCATCGACGGCGGTAGTGGAGAAGCAGCGACCAGCAGCAGAATTTTTGGAGGCGTCTTATCAAGGCTCTGAAGAGGACGTCGATCGCGAATCCCTCCTTCGCAAGAAAGCCGAGAGACGGGAAAGATACAAAGACGACCCATACTACATCGACTCAGAGCGCGGATCCGGAACTTCCACCCCAATGCACAGCATCCTCCGCAACGCGAACGGCACTGATTTAGACGTAGATTCCATCCCAGTCATGGAACTCAAACTCGACCCTCCATCTGCCCGCCCACGCTCAAGCACCCCCCAACCCACACGAAACCCCAGAAAACACTTTGAAATCGCCGCAGACGAAACTCTAGGCGGCGACGGTGACGATGCACCATCCCTCTCATCAAGTCTCCCCAAACCCCGAGGCGCAGGCGCGAAATCCCTTTTGCAAGTCGATAGTAGTGCTCTTTCTTCCCTCTCCCTTCACGATCAAAGTGGGAATCCTCGTCATCATAGACTTGACTTCGAAGAGCAGGAGGAAATGGCGAAAGCTATTAAGGAGGTGGAACGATTGAGGTTGGAAATGCAGAGGGCGAAGGAGAGGATTGGGGAGCCGGAGGAGGTGGGGGTTGTTGTTAAGAGGGGGAGGAGGAGGAAGGTTAAGAGTGTTGTGCTTGGGGAGGATGGCGGAGAGAGGGAGGAGGAGGGTAGAGGAGAGGGGGTTGGGGAAAAGAAGAAGATGAGGAAGAAGAAGAAGAGGAAAGAGGGACGGGATGGGGGAGAGGGTGCTGGGATGGAGGAGGTCAAGGAGGAGGTCAAGGAGGAGGTCAAGGAGGAGGAGGAGGAGTCGAGTAAGGGGAAGGTTAAGAGGAAGAAGAAGAGGCAGGTTGTTTTTGATGGGGATTAGATATATTTAGGGAGAAGGGAGGTAGAGAGGTAGGTGGAATTTGAATTGAAGAAGCGCCTGCAAAACAAGGAAAAGTAAAACTTATCTGATCATTTCCTCCGATTCTGTGGCCATGATGAATGAGAGCCAGCCCCCCGTTTTGTTTGCATGGTTCGATCCTCATCCTCATCCTCATCGCTGTTGGTAGAGGTGGAGGAGAGGAGATGCATGAATTTCCACATTTTTTTTTCAGGCCGGCTTGTGGAATTCCCTGGCGCCTTTTTTGTGTGACCAGACCACAACTTTGTACGTACCGTCGGAACAAGGAAATTAATGTCATATCGCGGAGGGACAAGGTTGGGATGGTTTGACGGACGGAGGAGGAGGTGAATACTGGCGGGCGTGCTCGGGTGTCCCATTAATTTTTATTTTCCATCTTTGCCAGAGTATTTCATTGGTGAGTGAGGTTTTATATCGCGGGGATCTTGCGAGCATGGTGAGGATGGGCGCTGTCACGCTTTGCTTCTAGACTACCTTTGCTGATTGAGCGCTGAGCGCAAGCAAGTTTGTTTCTTTGTATGGCAGGTGGTGGTGGGCTGCGATCTACTACCTATCCCTAACCTTGCGTGCGATGAAGACTTCTTTCACACAACACTACTACCTAGGGGGAGGAGGTAGAAGCTGGAGGCAACTTCCGGGTCTGGAGAGATACCTGATACTCGGGGAGCGGTGGGGATCTAAAGGAATCGTGCTGCTGCTGCTTCATGGTAACCGGTGAAGTCGAAATTTTGGCGGTGAGTGTGTCAGGCGAACTCACCTGTGATAATGATATTGGGGAAGGAATACTGCTGAACTTACCCTATGACTACACTCCCTAAAGGCGATGTTTCAGACTGGCATCCACAATGAGTTCGGTCCGAGCAACAACAGGGTGAAGTCGAATTGCGGAGGTGAGTGTGAGTGTATCAGGTGAACTTGCCTGTCATAGTAGGGAACGAATCCTGCTGAACTTACATGTGACAATAGGGAGGTAATGCCGATTCACTTGCATGTGACAATAGGAAAGGAATTCGGCTGAACGTGCATGTGACAATAGGGGACGAATTTCACTTCACTTGCATGTGACAATAGTGAATGCTAACAATAGCACGCACAGACTACCCAACCACCTCCTACGACTATATATGACTTTTCACTTTGCTTCCCAAGTCTTTTCTCTTTCCACATCACTCAAACCCGCTCAAGACTTCCTTACGTCCACTCAAAATGGCGCACACTGGGGCAGGCACCCAACAAGATCCCTATGTCATCGAAGACGACGACATCCTCTTCGAGGCGCTGGCGCCTCTCAAATCGCTTCCACCTGCCAACAGCCCCCAAGCTCGCGGCGTCTCTCCTGGCGGCACCCACTCCACCTCATCTCCTGGAGTCATCTCAGCCCGTGCGCTCCCAAACTCTGGCGCTGTGCTCGATATGCGTGAGCCATGTCGCCAGCTTTTCGACCTCCCGCAGGAAATGGTGGACATGATCTTCAACTTCGCATACCCGACTGTCGAAAACTTCCGCATCAAAAGCTTCAGGCGGTGGGAGTCAGATCATAAATTCGCCAAAGAGATCTCTCAAGCATTCCGAAACTCTCACAAGTCCTCCATCAAGGCATATCCAGGCCACAAAATCAACGACTTCCTCGGTGTCAATAAAGCATTCTTCTACGCAGCAGCATCGGCATATATTCGCAACCAGACCTGGGAACTCTCAGCCGTAGCAGACGCTGTCAAAATTCTCGACTTCTCGTGCACAACCCTGGTCTCCAGACCCTCATTCCTGTCCCGACATATCGAAACGCTCACGGTGTGTCACGCCACATCAGACCTCGTTGTGCGACAGAGTGGTACAGATGCATTTCCCGCTTTGAAAAGCATCGAATACCGTCCCGGCACATACACCGTGCAACTAAACGGAGCGCGTGCGGTTAGAGACATTTTCACCGACGAAGAACTCGCCGCGACCATGGCGTTCCAAACTTTGAAAAAAGTCCGAGGCCTCACCAAATTCTCTGTCATCGCCGACGCACCTCCTCCTTGGCAGGATGCCGTGGTTTCAGGGGTCTGGGAAGCGAATATGAGGAGAATGGAAGTCCTGCTTCGGCCGATTGTCACGCAGCCGAAAGTTATGACGAGGCAGATGGCTTCTTCCGATGTCGTCACGCTTGGATGCTGTCAGCCTTCCGACCTGGCTATTCTGGGCACGCTGATGAGGAAGGAGAGCCCGAGGAAGGCAGGGGAACAGTTTCGTGAGGATGTTCTTGAGCGTACGGATGCTGTGGTTGTGGATGCGTTTATCAAGGATCCGGCTGGTTTTGTTGCTTGGGCGAGGGAGGTGAAGCGGGCGAAGGATACCAAGTCGGCGGCAATGTCAGGTTGAGCGAATCAGTTGCTGGTTTTCTTTTGTATCAAGAGCCTGCAGATGAATCCAGGTGATTCAGGCAGGCATCTTGTTGCTACTAAGCACAGCGAGCGAGGCGAACCAACAAATTCAATGACATCTGTTCCATCACTCCAACCTCACATTCTCGCTGAGAACTCGAAACCTGCCTGTAAAATCTTTTTCTAAAACCACCACTCAGCTTCCAATAACAATGAAAGAAAGGTCTCGTAGTGCAATGGAAGCACGTCCGCGCTCAACCTTTGATGGCTCGAACTCCCAGAAGGAAAAATCTCCTGTCGCGTAGTCGACACCGATAACCATTCCGTCGCGCAAGTCGACCGAAACCCACTGTTCGCACTGTCGATCCGAATACATCCGTCGCACAGTCGACCGAGAAACCCACCTCAACGTCAGAGGGAACTTGCTACAAGATCAATTGTGAGCTAAGCGGGAAATCTACGTTCGAATCGTAGCGAGACCAAACGACAGAGTTTTCTGATTTCAGGCCGTTGTTTCAAAGTACCTATGCGAGAACTGACATCTTCCACCGGTATTCGCAAGTCCTAAGCCGGGTCTTAGGCATCACGTCTAAGCAGATCAGTGGAATTGAAAGCCGTAGTCGCCAATAGTAAACCAAAATCTTTGAACACTTAAGTCGACGCGGGCATCGTCATCCTATAGCATCACAGCATCAACATTGTAGCTCAATATGAAGTACTTCGAAGCGAGCCTTTGCAAAGTCGACATGCATATTGCGTGCTAGCCAAGCTCGAAACACGTGATGGAGGTCGGTAAGCAAGATCCACTTTTCACATGGTACGTACTCAGGAACGCGGCGACTGCTACTGGACGATGTATGAGGGGTGCCGGCTATCGGCCAGGTGGGCAAGAGGTGTTTCGTAGATAAACCTGATGATGGAAGTGCTGTCAGTCTGAGTGTTGGTGAAGAAAGATCCTCATGATTGTCATACCATAACGTTTCCAGCATGACGACCGCGACCCAAACAGTGCGTCGGGAACTTCCAACATATCAGCAAGCAGCTGAATCCAAATACGACTTGGACTGGGCCGATCTCGTCACGCTCGACTTATCGCAATTCGAACTTCCAGGCGGGAAGCAGAAGCTAGCAAACCAACTCCGAGATGCCGTTCACAATGTCGGCTTCTTCTACGTGCGTTGCGTGTCGTGTCGTGCAGAAGAAAAAAAAAAGAAACATGCTCGATCCACTAACGACAAAGTTCAATGAACAGATCACGAACTTCGGTCTCAGCCAAGAACAGATCGACCGGCAATTCGCCATAGGAAAAGAACTCTTCTCCCTCCCCGTGGAAGAAAAGCTCGCTCATCGAGCCGATCTCGAACACGGCCATTACTCCGGCTATCGACCCCAAGGCACAAGCGAAGTTCTGCCCGGCCTGCGAGACAACATCGAAATGTACAACGTCTTCAAACATCTCCCCGCCCTCGAGCGATCGCACCCGCAAATCCTGCACGACCACCGCGCCGAAATCGAGACCTTCCAACGCCACATGGCCGAAAACACGATCCAGAAACTTTTGGTCCTCATCTCGATCGTGCTGGAATTGCCGGAAGAGTACCTGTCGAATGGGCACAAGTACGAGGACGTCAGTGATTGTCATTTGAGGTATATGGTTTATCGAGCGAGGACGGCGGAGGAGAATGCTCGGTATCAGAATCTGTATTCGCGGGGGCATACGGATTTTGGGTCGTTGACGTTGCTGTTCCGGCAGCCCATCGCGGCTCTGCAGGTTTATATGCCTGATGGTACGTGGAAGTGGGTGAAGCCGTATCCGGGGAGTATCACGGTGAATATTGCGGATGTGTTGCAGTTTTGGACGAATGGGTATCTCAAGTCTTCGATTCATCGGGTTTGTGCTCCGCCTGAGGATCAGGCTCATTTGGATCGATTAGGTCTGCTTTATTTTTTGCGGTAGGTGATGGATGTGCTGCTCGCTGGCGGGTTTTTCATCGTGTGCTAATTCTTGTTCGATAGCCCGGCGTACGATTTGGACCTCAAGACTGTTGATAGTCCTTTGCTGAGGCGTCTTGGACTCAAGACTGATGAAGAGGGCGAAGCGGCTGGTATCAAGGCTGGGGACTGGGTGAGAATGCGTGTCAAGCAGAACCAGGACAAGGCGGAGACGCGTGGGGGGAATAAGAAGGAGGTGCTGAAGGGCGTCAGTGTGAAGTATTATGATTAGTCCATTATCAGTCCGAGGCGGCGTAGATCGACGTTCTTCTCGATGTTGTCGCGGAGTGAGTCGATTCGAAGAAGTCTCGAACTCCTGCCTCTGACCGTGTGACCTATGATCACCGCATCGTGCAACATGTGGCGGCATATCGATAACGTCGTGCTTCCACACTGTATGCTGTAGCACGACAATGCAGTCAGCACTTGTGATCCCGGACTTCCTCTTCAAGACACACCCAAAGAAAGGTTCGTCCCGACCGCACGCGACGATCGCGTGGCTGTCAGATTCTTAACACAAGTCCAGAGGGAGGCGTCTGCACCATTTTCGACGACAAAATGCTTCTCTCAAGAAGGCAGGTCTTGGCCCAAATCTCGGCTTCCCCAAAACGACCACCCCTTCACAGAGCAGCACGTGCCCACCCTTAGGAATTCCCGTCTGGGGAAACCGCAAGACTTGCCGTGCCCCCAGACATCACTCCGCACGATGGACCCCAGCATTATCTGGGGAAATCTCAACGCGTGCGGAGCAAAAAAGTGAAATCAGAAGACATTTGCCGAAGATCATCAGAAACAATCTCGTGTCGAACAGGCATGACATGCTTCGGCTAGGGCCGAACGGAGCCAGTATATAAGATTCTTCGACTTCGCCTGTCGTGAAGAATTTGGAGAAGATCCTTGTCTCTGAACAAGACTACGACTTGGCTTTCGTTGTGCCCACTTGAGATACCGACAAGATGGTATTTGAACTCCGAGGTTCGAAGCTCGTGGCAGTGATTCTGCTGGCTTCGGGGCTGGACTTCTTGCTTTTTGGGTATGTATGATGCATGCATACAAACCACGCCGTCACAGCTGCAGCACTGATTCCATCCATCGTAGATATGATCAGGGACTCTTCGGCGGGATTCTGGGTGGTCAACGCTTTCAGGATATGCTTGGGAACCCCGGTTCCACGATGACGGGTCTCGTCACTGGAGTCTACGATCTCGGCTGTGCCACCGGTGCCGTAGCAGCTTTCGTCTGGGGAGAAAAAATCGGACGGCGACGCAGTATTATCTTTGCGAATTTCGTCGTCATCGTTGGAGCCACGATCCAGACGGCAAGCTTTTCGTACGCACAGATGGCCGTCTCGAGAGTGATCGCAGGGGTCGGTGTCGGCTTGTCGACAGTGGCTGTGCCGATTTTACAATCCGAGACACTGCCATCACACAACCGTGGTGCACTTCTAGTCGTGCAATCCGCTCTGATTATCATCGGGGTTGCCATCGCTTCGTGGCTCTGCTTCGGCTGCCTGTACGCCGACTCCAGCTTGCAGTGGAGATTCCCGATTGCGTGCCAGATCCTCTTCTCCCTCCTGGTCCTGCTCTGCTGCCCCTTCATCCCAGAAACGCCAAGATGGCTCGCCAAGCACGGGCGCACCGACGAGGCTCGCCACGTCATCTCTCGCCTTCTCGATAAGCCGGAGGAGGACCCAGAAGTCAAGGGCCAGCTGAACGAGATTCTCGAAGCCATCGCAACGGAGGACCAAGATGGCGAGCCAACCTGGACCGAGGTCTTCTCCAACGCTACCAAGACTCGCACTTTGCAGCGTGTCCTGCTCGGCATGGGCCCATTCATGATGAATCAGTGGTCTGGTATCAACGCCCTCTGCTACTACCTCGCCTACATCCTCAAGTCATACCTCGGCTTTAGCAGCTCCATGTCTCTGATCCTCGCCTCGGTTGCCTTCACTCAGTATGCCGTCTTCTCCTGGCCACCATACTTCTACATCGACAGGATCGGTCGCCGATGGACAGTCATCTGGTCCAGTATCGGTTGCGCGATTTGCATGGCTGTCATTGCCGGCTGTCTCATCAAGCAATCGCATTCCAGCGCCGCTGCTGCCGTGGCATTCATGTTCCTGTACCTCGACTGCTTCACCCTCGGTATCCTTCCAGTCTCTTGGTCCTACAGTGCTGAGATCCAGCCTCTGCGTGTCCGAAACAAGGCCACCGCAGTGGGTGTTTTCAGCCACTGGTCATCCAACTTCGTCGTGGTAATGGTCACCCCAATTGGTCTGGACCACATTAGCGGCAATTACTTCTGGATCTGGGCCATCGTCTGCGCCAGTTTCGTGCCTCTCACTTATTTCTTCGGTAAGCCACCAATAACCCGAGAGCCCCAAAATGTCTGAGACATTTGCTGACCTTCCTTCGTAGGCGTCGAAACTTCTGGTCGCTCTCTCGAGCAGATCGATGAAATTTTCTACAACAGCCCAAGAGCCCTGATGGGTTTGGACAAGGAGGCCACAAGAGTCATCCATGCCACTGCTGCGGATGAGGAGCACCGCTACAGGGAGTTCGCTGTTTCCGCAGAGAAGCGCATGAGTGTGGTTGAGCAAATTAGCGTTCATGAGGAGAAGAACTAGTCGGGATGCTTTCGGAGGCTGTCCAAGGAAGAGATGAGATATGAGAGTCGCTGTATTGGTCTGCGTAGAATAGCATGAAATTGCGGATTTCGTCATCAGTAAGTCAGCATGAGACATGACAGCGCCTCGGGTTGGCGTACGCGAAGTACGCCACACGCAGACAGTGTTGTTGCTTGCTGAGAGCCTAGCATGTGGAGGATGGATTTCCAGGATGAAAGGCCCCACTGTATTCGCGAATCTGCACAAGTGCATCGTGTATAATAAGACTAAAGCAGAAATATGAGATTCAAGTTGAGCTCGGTCTTCCCATTCGCAATTGCAAGCAACCGTGAAGGGTGTTATATTTCCATCTCTAGGCTCGGGAGTCGGGTCCTCAAAAAGAGTGCAGCACCGCACGCGAGTACTTTCTCATGAATGCCATGGCGGCAATGCGGAAGGCAGCAAACTTGACGATTCCACAAGCTGTCACGTTAGGAGCTGCTTTCCAGACAGCTGCTCTTGGATGGTCCAGGGCCTGAAGGTGTCGTATACCGGTACAAATGACTGGAGCAGTGTTGGCGACTTCAAAGGTGGGACCATATATGAGAGCTCAATGACTAGGTACGGCAGAACAAACAAATGCTGCAATCACTCGTTGAAGGAGGAAGGATTCAGCCTTTACAAAGAGTATGAGGAGATTGGGACAGGCGGGCTCGAAGATGCTATCAAGGCCTTCAGGCACAAAGGCGATGGGCGGAAGGTGGTCGTAAAGATCCAGAACGAATTGCATCTCGAACGCTGTTCGGACTTATATATCTCAGGTCATGTTTTGCTGCGCGGGAGCTTGCCACTAGCTGCAATACCGCCACTGGACAGAGACCAGAACTGCACGTTTTCGCCGAATGTATCTGCCAGCCAATCTGCATCTTGAGCATTGCCATTCCGCAGAGCAATCTCATGGGTCCGCTTGATTGCTCTGATTGCCCACGCTGTTTGAAGCATGTCAGGAATAGGATTTCCTTCTCCTCGCTGCTCGATCCGATGGTCTCTTATAAGTTTTCGTAGCAATGCTATCATAGGCTGCTGATCCGGGCTGTTCGGCCGAAAGAGAGCAAGACAGGCACGGTGCCAGGCGTGCTGTTCAGGAGTCGACTTGGATCTCGCCTTTGGATAACAGTGAAATGCCTCAAATCGCCCATATAGGGCACTATCGGTGCTGACCAGCCTGCCATTTGCTATCGTCTTGATCAAGAACATCGTGGCAGACCACAGCGGCAAGGTCACTATTCCGGGTGCTTCGGTACGTGTATCGCGTGCAAATTCGTCTCTTCTGATTCCGGACTCCTCGAATCGCTTCTGCCTGCGATCTATCACCTCAAAGAAGGCTCGCATGGCCGAATCGGCATTGCCTGGAGTCAAATGTGTGTGCGCACGCACGAGTGCTCCGAAAAGATTTCCTCTCCATACATTACGTTCTTGCAGCGTGAGCTGTCGACCAAACTCCTGCTCTTTGACGTCAACCATGCACAAGTCCTGGACGATTCGTTCCAGCCCTTCTAGAATTGCGAAGTAGCATAAATGGGTCCTTGAACCATCGTTGGAGTCGAGAAGCAGCGGGAGCCATCTATTGCTATCTTCCAGAATATACTTCAGAATCGGACGGGCGATTGGTCCTTCATCCTTCTCCTGTCTCCTTCCGAACGCATGCTTGAGACACAGAGCGATCGTCTGTTGGGGAACAACATGCCCCGAATCGATACAGTTAATGAGAATTTGTGATGTATTCTCAGGGGAGTGTTGTAATTGCTCGGCGACACGACGAGTATGCTCGGGCTGTGCTTGGGATGCCGCTATCTCTCGCCGCGAAATATTTTGCGAGTGACGGCTGAGCGAAGCATGTGTCCATTGGGACAACCTGGTTGCCAAGGACCCTTTTTCGTTTGTTGGGCCAGCTGGTGGCCGTTCGTCTTTGCCTTGAGGTGCATCGTGACGCCGAGATTCATCGGTCTTGTGTTGAGTGCCCACCGCTTTCCTGATTACCGCATCATTTGACGAGTATTTGACTGTTCGCGAGCGGTATACGTCCAGTGCCGACAAGGGTTGCCTTCTTCGCAGGAGTTGTAGAGCAGGGCAGTGGTAGAGTGTCATAGCCGGGCACAGATAGTGTGCACCACTGCACGCAAGAATTTCCGCGCGCTACTGGAACAAATCTTTCAGTTTTGTCGTGGAGATGATGGATCGGTGCCGTGGGATTGTGTGGAATCCGCAGTAGTGAAGTCCGTGGAGGTTTTTGTGCACGCTGAGCACGCTGACTGAGCACGCCGAGCTTTGCAAGCTATGTGTTGTATGTTGTCGTCAACAGGGCGTGCTGCGCTGCGCAGTGAAGTCTTTCCAGGCCAGGCCAAGTTGTGATGAAGTTAAGTGAAAGGTAGACGGGTTTACACTTTGATATTCACATTGCCCTGATCCTCCTCCCGCCATCTTGGCGCCGATCGGTCCGTCCGCTTCGCCGAAGTGCTCACAGCTTCCACTTCCACAGACATTGAAGTTGCAGCGACAACCACACCTCCACCACCACCACCACCACCACCACCGCCTGTCCACACCGCCGCCGAAGCCCCAATACCCTACCAGGCGATCACCATGGCGGCGGCAATCAAGGCCCTCAATGCCAAAATCCGGTCCAACCCGGTAACCGATTACTTCTGCTCAACACGTACGTGAAGTGAAGCAAAACGGCCCAACCCCTCTACACCCACGAGACTCACAAAGACATGCGCCCACAGATTTTTGGGGTCCAGCCTCAAACTTCGGCATCCCCCTCGCAGCAGTAATGGACACACAAAAAGACCCAGACTTGTAAGCTGCGCCTCCCCCAAACCCCACCTCCTCCTCATCCCCAACTAACACCTCTTCTTCTCCTCGTTTAGCATCTCCGGCCGCATGACCCTCGCCCTCTGCGGCTACTCGGGCGTCTTCATGCGCTACTCGCTGGCCGTAAGCCCCAAAAACTACCTGCTCTTCGGCTGCCATTTAGTAAATTTCAGCGCGCAAGTCACGCAAGGTTATAGGTTTGTGAATTATTGGTATATGGGGGGTAAAGAGAAGGCGCTGGAGAGTAAGGCGAAGGAAGGGTTGGGGCAGGCGAAGGATGCGGTGCAGAGGGCGAGTTTGAAGGCTGGAGAGGTGGTGGAGGGGGCTAAGGGGAAGGTTAAGGATGTTGGGGGGAAGGCATCATCATAGGGGTGGGAGAGGGATGGGAAGAGAGGATTGGGGGTGTGGGTGTGGAAGAGAAGCTGCGTGTCTAGCTCCGAGATGAGCGGGTTAGAGATACCAGGGCTTTAAAGGATGTGTATAGCGGCTTGTGAATCATCATTGAAGCATTTCGGCAGGATAGGGAAGTAGGATTCCGCGTCTCAAGCTTAGGAAGCGTTCGAATGGGAGGGAACAAATCAGCTGAGCACGAGCATTAAAGCTAATGGGCACAGAAACTTGACTGACCACTCCCAGAAACCGCTACAGGACCAACGCAGCAAACGAAGAGAACGAGTACCAAAACCTGCTCTAGGTCAGATTCTCCCACACCCACGCTATGCACAAACAACACCATTAAAAAACAACAATCAAGCCTTGGGTATCTCTCACAACCAACCACGCAAAACCCCCATCCCCATCCTCATCCTCAATCCCCACTCACTAACACAAAAAGCAAAGCGCAAAAATCACATAAACAACCACCAAAGTAACAACCATTTCCCTCGCCCCATCATGCAAATTCCCCGCCGCAGCACCTCCAAACCCAAGTGTCCCATCCTCCTCATCCATCCCAGCCTTCTCAACATTCTCCTTAAACTGTCCCTCAACGTTTCCTCGCGGACTGTATTCGCAAACGAGATATGCGCCTTTCACGCCCGAATCCGCAGCGTCATTGTTGTCGCATTGCACGAGTCCGCAGCCGATTTGAGTTGTGTTTTGCCAGACGAGTTGGGTGAAGTGGCCTTCTTTTTCGGAGAATTTTCCGTGGGCGTAGTTGTAGGTTTTTTCTTCTTGGGCCCAGGCGGAGATGGCGAGGGTTGGGGTTTGGAAGTTTGAGGCGAGGTTTTCGCCGTAGGGGCCGCCCTAAGCAAGACGAATAAATGTTACGAGGTGGTGGATTTTGATTTTCAAGGACTTGTTTTTTTTTTTTTTGAGAGAGAGACTTACGGAATGTTTCCAGATACAGTTTTTGGCATAGTCTTGGGCGTAGGAGGCTAAAGTGGAGTTCCAGGTTAAGGGTGCGGCTTCGTGTTGGGCACGATACCAGTTCGTGCTGTTGAGGACTTCGTTTTGGAATGAGGAGCTCATTGTGGGAGAAGGTAGGGGTGAAGTGGTTGTGAAAGTCGAGCTGGCTAGCAGTCTCGCTTGGGTGGGAGGATCGATCGCCGAATGTGTTGTGGTGGATGAAGCTGTGATTCTGGAAAGGGTCAAAGTGATCGTTGTAGTGGCAGTTGCGACGGTCGTGGTTGACGTCAATGTCGTATATGAATCGACTGCTGCTGCAGCCAAGGCACTTCCAACAAAGAGTGACTTCGCCAGCACGCGAAGCGAATATGTGCCTGGCATTTTAGCGTTACGCAGGGATTAGATCCTGCTTGGAACTGTCGATCTTCTGCGCTGTGAGTTCGCCTCTCGAACAGATTGCGAGAGCCTTTTCGCGTGACTCGGTGGATTTGGGCTGCTGGAAGGAGCGAATGACTTTTTGCGACTGCGATCAACGCGGTCGTGAGAAAATAAGAACGACGGTCGTTTCTGCTCCGAAAGAGTGGAGGTGTAAGAAGAGAAGGAAAGGAAAGGAAATGTGTGCTTGACCTGTGAAGCAGTAACCGATTTGCTATTCTCGTGTGCGACGGACGCCTTGGAAGAGAGGCACTCTTAAACCGTGTCCATCCCGTTGTCTGGCTGAGATTGCACACAGTGTTCGAGATCTCGTTTCAAAATCGTGGAGACAAAGAAGGCCTCCGCAAGTTCGGCGCTACCCGTGACGGCCTCAGGTTTCCGCCAAGCACGCTAGGGACTTGCCGCCACTAGCGCGGCTGTCGCACTGAATTCTCCAGCGCTCTTTCGATCTCTTCCTGATCTTTTCTTCATCGAAAAGTACCCAGCGCCAGCCACGACACACACTTACGCTCACTTCTGGTCGCTTCGGCAGCCGAGAGCACTTCCACGGTGTGTGTTGCCAGGACTCTACTGAGTCCGTGGCGCTGTAGAAAGATTCTCGTGGATATAGGAAGCTGGTTTTCGATGGGTCACTTCAGTGTGGCGATGGATTTCGGTGTCCGAGAAGCGAGTACAAACCAATACGACAGTCAATTCTCTGTCGATGATGCCAGTTATGTCTCCTGGTCGCGTTGTCGGAATGCGTGCAGTTCTTCGACCACGACTCAGAGTTCGAGCGTGCGACAAGCGCGGTGCAGGACTTCCTCTTTGCTTTCACGTCTGTGGTCCCTCCGTACGGTGGTAGGTTGCGGACGCTTGGCGAAACGACAGAAGCAGAGGACTCCATCTGTCTCCCTGTCTGCCATAACAGAGAAGAGTTACCTCCTCTCATCTCGGCCGCGCACCAGACCAGACTGGCTCTCGATCTCGACCGTGTGGTGCTCGCAGTATACATACATCTCCTGTCAGACCACAAGTCTCCACTCTCCATTTCGCGAAGGTGGTAACCGAGGCTCCACGATTGGTGAACAAACTCGAACGCAGTGTCGGCGTGGCGTGTCAGTAGTATGGCCAGAGACGGCATTTGTAACGCCGGCTGCAAGCTACCTTGTCATTTGAGTACGTATCAGCTTGAGCCTAGTCCTGGAGCTTTGTGTCGACTGCGCGCCTAATGAGGCATGTTCTCCTCAAAGCATCGTTGCTGCGTGAGAAGTAGGTTCTAACGGAGCTCTGCTTTCAGAAAGATGACCTGAAAAGCATCGCCATCAGCATGCTATTCGACGTCTTCGTACAGCTCAACATGCAAGGGACCGCTGTGATCCAAAAATGGCACAGACATGGGAGCACGATCATATGTAGACATCACGACCTCTTATTATATCTTATTATGCTTTAGCCGCATTGGCCGAAAGCAGGAGTTTGTCGTTGGCTCATGAAAGTTTGAAGCACACAGCATAACCAGAGTGGGTTCTTGCTTTACTGAAATGTGTCGTAGCGAGGTCTGCTACCCTCTGAGATGAACGCGATGCCCATGCTGCCAACCGTTGACCATGATGCGGTACGCCGGTACCTCCGGAAGCTCGCGATTGTGGTTCACGGTAGATGCCCAGCACCCTCCCTGAATTAAGGCTTCAAGGTTCTGGACTAACGAGCCTCGCACCGACACCGTCGCCATGTTGCCATCCTTTCTCTCTTCTCTGCTTCTCGGACGTTCTGTGTAGTACAGCGCAGTGTCTTATTGTATTGATATTCATTCAAGATGGGGCTCGGTGTGCTGAACGACACCAAGCTTTCCCATGTGCCTGGTAAGCACGCTACCCTAAATGCTCCTGCGGCGTCGAGCGACATCGAGCTAACATGATCTGCCAGGAACCGCTACGCTCGAGGACTTCGATCCGGCCGCATCGCTCGCGCGCGGCAGAGACACATCGAAGCTCAAAAAGAGCAAGACTGGTCTAATCTTGGTACCGCAGCCGAGTGACGATCCCAAAGACCCGCTGGTATAGAGAATGTGTGGAGAAGATATGGAGCAGCGGCATACTGAGATGTGAGCAGAACTGGCCGTTATGGAAACGAGATCTTATATGCGGCGTGCTATGTCTGCTATCGGTCATCGCGTCGACCATGTCACCGCTCCTCGCCGCGAATACCCTCACCTTGACCCTATACTTTAGGGAGAGCTTCACGAAGATCGCGCTGTTGACAGGATATCATTTACTCGGCGTAGGCGTGGCTGGCTTCATGTTCGTGGCCAGCGCAAGAATCTGGGGCAGACGACATCTCTACGTGCTGGGCACCGTCATCATCATCATCAGTTCTGCCTGGGGAGGCGGCAGTGGACACAGCTACAAATCCCTCATGGCCGCACGCTTCTTCCAGGGCGTCGGTCTGGCTCCTTTTGAAGCACTGGTCAATGTGAGTGTTGGCGATCTCTACTTCGTGCACGAACGAGGCAAGAGAATGGCTGTCAGCAACTGTGCTCTCTTTGGCGGTGCCTTCTTTACCCCAGTTATTGTGGGCAAGATGACCCACACCTTGGGCTGGCAGTGGACTTTCTACTTCATTGCCATCTTCGCTGCTGCTTTGCTACCTGTCGTCATCTTGTTCTGTCCCGAGACCGCTTTCGTGCGTGACAGCAGACTCAACACCGACATGACCTGGTCCCAGCTTTCAGATGGCAGCATCTCCGACCACGAGCTGAAGCACGTCTCTGGAGATGAACCTGGCAACGCCTCTATGGACAAAGGCGCAACACGCACTGCCGAGAGGACCATCGCAAACGTGCACCAACCTATGCCATTCAAGTTCATCACACGAGACAACATCGCCTTGTTCAATGGTCGCAAGACGGATGAGAGCTTCTTCAAGCTCGTGCTGCGTCCGTTCCCCCTCTTCTTCCACCCTGGCATTCTATGGTCATGCTTGATTCAAGGTGTGATGATTGGCTGGACAGTCATGATCGGTATTGTGCTTGCTGCCATTATGCTGGGACCACCGCTCTTCTTCAACGAGGTGGAGACTGGATACATGTACACTGGCGCTTTCATCGGATCCCTCGTTGGTCTTGCCGTATCTGCCTTGATGTCGGACAGCTTCATGATCTGGTTAACGAAGCGCAACAACGGTATCTACGAGCCCGAGTTCCGCATGTTCCTCGTAATCCCCATGATGATTCTCGGTGTCGCCGGTCTCTACGGCTTCGGAATCACAAGCGCCAACACTCACAAGTACCGCTGGTTCTGGCCGGACTTCTTCTTCGGCGCAGAGGTGGCGGGAATGGTCGTCGGCACTGTCGCAGCTGCCCTCTACATCGTTGACGGCCACCGCGATCTCGCCATCGAAGGCTTCACCTGCGAGATGATCTTCAAAAACATCTTCTCTTTCGGCCTCACCTTTTCGGGATACAACTGGCTCGTTTCCGGCAACATCAAGCCTGTCTTCTACTGGATTTCAAGCGTACAGGTGGTGATCTGTTGCCTCACGATCCCCATGTGTAAGTCCAAGTCACGTGATTCTTTGCCCTATTGAAGCCCTTGCTGACTCATCGTAACTTTGCAGACTTATTTGGCAAGAAAAACCGATCTTTCTTTGCAAGACACGATTTGTTGGAGCTCACTCGTCTGAGATAGATTTCAATATTTTAGGTCTTTGATGCTGGCAGTTTAGCGATTTTATTCAACATACATCTTGTTTCATTGCCTCTGTGGACATGGCTCATCTTGAAGTTGCTACTGATGTGGACAGTCCTACACCAAAAAAAAATATCGGGGACAGCTTTTCAATGATTGATGCTCACTTTAGCAGATATCTTTTTTTGCCGGTGACGTCCGCGTGATTGCTAGAAGCTCGATGTGAGTTGCGAGTCGAGCAGGCTATAGTTGAGTGGGGTGGAATTTCTTTTTTTGGGGGGGCGTAATGGTAGAATGATCTGGGACGGTAAGAAAAGCAGAGGAAGAAGAGGATGTTGAGATATGTGAATGGGGATGGTTGTGTTGAGTACTGACAGGTGGCTTACAACAGCTTAGTTTTGTCCTTAGACCCTTGCTAACGTAAGGAGTAGTGAGTAGGTGCAGCATCAATTAAAGATCAGTATAGAAGGTGCGTATTGTGCCTGCCTCTGCTTGCGTTCAATCAGGAAGGGGCTGAAACGGAGATAGACCATACTTCGCTTTCCGCCAACACCACCAGCAGCGACCGATCATCCTCCACTACTCTTCCTTCAAGCGCATCAAGCTTACATTCAGAGTCGTCATGTCGGTCAATCTCACCATCAACACCACGTTTCAAGTGCCGCTCGAGCTGGCCGCCGCGATGCAAGCTGCTAGAAGCGCTACAAGCGACCTCGGATATGCATCGGGCATAGACGATCTTCGGGGCAAAATGAATAATGCGGTCTGTAGTGCCGTTAAGAGTCTTCCGTTCACTATTTAGCAGAAGTCGACATCAGCTGTGTCTAGCTTTCCTAGCCGCAATATGCGTATATTCGAAATTGAGCTAACAATAAGCGACCTCGAATATGCACCGGGCATAGACGATCTTCGGGGCAAAATGAATAATGCGGTCTACAGTGCCGTTAAGAGTCTTCCGTTCACTATTCAGCAGAAGTCGACATTAGCTGTATCTAGCTTTCCTAGCCGCAATATGCGTATATTCGAAATTGAGCTAATAACAAGCGACCTCGAATATGCACCGGGCATAGACGATCTTCGGGGCAAAATGAATAATGCGGTCTGCAGTGCCGTTAAGAGTCTTCCGTTTACTATTTAGCAGAAGTCGACATTAGCTGTATCTAGCTTTCCTAGCCGCAATATGTGTATATTCGAAATTGAGCCAACAACAATCAACATCCTCGTCGATACCACGATTCAGGTGCCGCTCGAGCTGGCCGCAGCAATGCAAGCTGCTGCCGACACTGCAAACGACTTCCAAGATCTGCCGGGCATAGAGGAAGTCCAAGACAGTACGAGAACTGCCTTGATTCGTGCTGTCAAAGCTCTTGCAGTTCAGATTCAGCCGCGACCTGCATCACCTGCTCGCGCTCAGCAGATGTCACAGTATCGCAGTCGCTACCCAGTTGCTCGTACTCTGATACCAGAATCGCGAAGTCGATCTCGCTCACCGAACCGAAATTCTTCAGCAGGATCAGAGTCGCGGTCTCGCCCGGCTCATTTCCAGTAGCGCTCACCCTCAGCTCTGCCGACCACAGCGCCAGATCATCTCGCCCGCCCAGCTCCTTCTTCACCCACTCCGACCTCATTCGAGATGTGCTTCGAAGCAATTCATCGTCCACGCCGAACCAACAACAGCCATCAGTCAGCTCAATGAAATGGCCCAATCAAAGGATGATGCGGGTCTCCTTCCTCGAATCCTTCTTCATGAAGGGCGGAGAATTTGTCCTGTGGTTGAGAGTCTTCGCAAGTGTAATATGACACTTCAAGTGGTAAGAAATATCATACGCCGTGATGCATATTTCTGGACTGTGCTGAATTTTTCCGACAGCTGGGCTTCCGCGGCGGAGAGGTCATTGAGATTGTCCCTAAGGCTTCTGCGCTCTGGGATGGGGCTTTTGAATAGGAGGATGGAGCCTTCGACGCAGAGATTGATGAGATGAACGACGATCTTTACGAATGGATAGAGGATGAAGGATGCATCGATTAACAGAAGTGGCAATCTGCACCGGATAGTGGCAGACACTCCTGAAAGGGATGATATCTGATCGCGTCAGACTGTGATGTGAAGGATCGCGACGTTACAGAAGCTGCGAAGCGAGTCGGACCCGGCTGCCAGAATGCAAAGTCCCTAGCATGTGAAAGTCGGAATATCCTAGATCCGAATGCCAACAAAAACCACCGCCATCGCGAAGACAGAGGCTAGCCGCCACACGGCAAGCTCGGTCACCAAAAGGTAGCTTGACTCAAGCTCTTCTTCCTGCAACGTGACGCTGACTCTACGTACTTACAGCGCTACCGTCACAATGTCCGTCAACGTCACCCTCCAACTCCCTCTCGAGATCGTGGCAGCGATCAAAGCCGCCACCAGCGAAAACGGTAGCAGCACGCAAGTCGCGCCGCCCCAGATTCCCGCTGCCATCACCGCCGCCGTCGTTGACGCCGTGAAGGCGCTGCCATACGAGATTCGAGCTACACAGCCGCCCATCTCGATGTCAGAGATGACTTCCCACAGCTCTTCACGCAGGTTTGATTTAGCTGACGATGTTTCATAGCTTGGATTCAGGGGAAGAGAAGTCATTCAAGTGTTCCTTACATATCGTTGAGGATATGAGGTTGGCGGTGCTGGTGTGGACGATCGATAGCGCGCGGTTGAGAAGAAAGGGTGTGGAGATGAGCACTGAATATGATGTACTGATGAGCCCAAGGAGGTTTCAATTCAGCTGGGTTGAGGCGAGCGCAGAACGGAGAAGCAAATGGACGCTTCTAGCATGTGAAAGTCAGAGCAAACAGAATCCCATGCCAACAATGAAGTCTAGAAATTCACCACCTACGCTTTGATCTTCCACGGACTTTATCTTCGCGACCGGCAAAACCATTCAGCTTACCCATCGCACATCTCTTTCAAGGCAACAACTCACTGCGATGAACAACATGGATTCCAACACTACCATGAAGCATGTCAAGTTCAACGTCAACGTCAACACCACAATCGAAGTGCCGCTAGAGACTATGATCACCGTTCGAGCTGGCAACCAGCAGACTCTCGACATCGAGGCAGTCACTGCTACCCTAAGGAGTGCTGCGATCGATGCAATCAAGACCTATGCCGCAAGCGGCGATGGGAAAGAATCTTCACTGCCCATCAGGAGAGAGGAAGCTGATGAAGAAGCGACAAAAGCGATTCAGGAGGCCGAGGAGATGACGAGCAAGATCTTGCTTGAGGAAGACGGCGGCAGTAACTCATCGCCTTTGGGTGCGAGCGTCGCGTCCGAGATCGATGTTGAAACCAGTCCCGTCAATACAACTTCAGTGGCCTTACAAGATCCACGAGCCTCCCCCCATGTCGCTATCGACGACGAACTCGTGAGTGTCCGTGTCCAATACAAGAACTTGTCTTCCACCCGCAAGATCCACAGCAATAGTACGATCGAAGACCTTCTGACAGAGGTTCGCGCCTCTCTCCCAGGCGTTCCCAACGATTATCGCCGCCTGCTATGGGTCTCTGACCTCAGACCCGGCACCGAAGCAATCGTCCTGCGTGGATCGACGAAGTTGTGCAATGTAAGTAGTCTCTATTCATTGAATACTTTGCCACGGCTGACAAATTTCAGACAGACATCAGCAAGTTCGGCATTGTGCATTTACGGGCTGGAGAGTGTAGAATCGCCGGTCCAGGCAGTGCACCAGCACCAGAAGAGCGCGAAATCCGCATCACTATCATGATCTATCACGATGACGGCAAGGCTTCCGAAGCGGACGACTCATGGGTAGATGGGCATGGCTTCGTGCGAGCGGGTCCTGAAATGATAGCGGCGCAGAAGGCTCGTGCACGGCGCCCAGAGCTCCATTCGGTCCTCATGGTGGTCAATATGCGGCCCACGAACACCTTTCTCGATGTCAAGAAGGCTATCCATCACCACAAGCGCGGCCATGACCCGGAAATTTCAGAGTTGTACATGTCATTTGAGGATCGAATTGCAGGTCGACAAACCGACGATGAGGTGACTTTGGAAGAGGTAGGATTGCTAGCTTCCCAGTGGAGGAATTTTTGATGCTGATGATTCTATAGGCTGGGATAGATGATGGTGGAAGGATTTGGTGGAATTGGATTCCTGTGGTGGCCGGACTTCTTGAGGAATGACGTTGAGCGATGATGAGGCTCGGCGCTTCTGGTGGGAAGAAGTGCTCTTTCGTACGAGGAGGACGTACTGATCAGTAAGGGACCAGATGTGCGATTGAGATTAAATAGCAATGCAGAACCTGTTGAACAGCTGTGCAGAGACCAGAGCAATGGATGATGCTGTGAAATTTGAAGTCAGCATGTGAAAGCCAAGACCCCATCACTTTCTTGCCAAGAATCGTACGTCACACCCACCAACCTCTTGCCGCAATCTCTTCCACAATCGCACAACCTCACCACGACATCTCCGCGCACAAGAACCTCGCATTTATCGAGCTTCCGCCGAACTCATCTGATCGCAGTGCCGCAACGATATCGCTGAAACTGAAGGTCACGGTAGACCTCGAACTTCCACTAGAAACCGCTGCCGCCATACAACAAGGCAAAAAGTTCGACGCAGAATTGAGGGACTGGCTGAAGCTCATTGACCAAGATGCCGCGAAGAAAGCCGTCACAGCAGCTGTGAAGGCTCTGCCGTTCGAAATCAAGTCCAAGAACGGCTTCACCATCTTCATACAAAACCCCGATGGGAAGGTCCTTACTCTGGAGGTCCAGTCGTCGACTACAGTTGACAGAGTCGCCGAGATGATTGAAGAGAAGGACGGCATTCCACAGGATGAACAGACCTTGCTTTTTCGGCGTAAGCCGGTGTTCGGATGGTTAGATAATGTTGCTGGCACGAAACTGAGCGATGTGAGTTCTGAAGCTCTCCATGTGTTATAGCCCTGCCACTGACCTTCTTCCTTCTTCCGCAGCTCAAAGTCGGCGACGGAAGCACTGTTGATCTTCACGTCTGGACGCGCACATGTCCCAAGCCTCGCAATGGTCCAATCCATATTCCTTCGGGCGCGCAGGGCCACCCTCTATTGCGCATACGCCCACCTGGCTCCGCGTTTTATAACATGTGCCTCCATCCAGGTTCCCGCGGCGCAGCAATTTCTGGTTCAGGACGCAATGCCATGACTGCAATCCGCGAAGCCAATTCCAACGTGAACGCGGCTGCAGGCACTCCTGGCCTGACCTCCAAATTCGGCATCAAGATACGTTGTCCAGGTGAAGTGGACTCCTGGCTCAGCGATCTCCAACCCAGCACGACCGCGATCGATATTGCGAAGAAGTTGGGAGATCGTCGAGGTGTCCCAGAGAACAAGATCGGTCTTGTCTTCAAGGGCAAAGTCCTTCTCTCCCATACCTGGAACGAGCACAAGAGATGCCTCCAGAACAAGTCTCTTGATTCGGTAGGTTCCATGTCATTAATCACGATGTATGGCCAAAATGATTCTGACAATTTTTTCGCAGCTTGGAATCACCGCTGGCTCTATTGTCATTGCTTTCTTCGGCAGTCAGGGGTCGGAACCGTCTGGTAGGAGATCCCGTACGATTTCTAGCTAACTATGTGGAATTCACCTCCGTCAATGCCGAGCGCTGTGAGGACTGCACCTACTCCAGAGGCAGGCCGTAGAGCAACCTGAGGAGGGAGTCTGTTTTTAGCCTAATGCGAGCGGGAAATAATGATCAGAGTCGGCAGGTCCGAAGGCTTGAAGAGACTTTCATATCTCGGGCACGGGTAAGGATATTCCAAATGGCCATACAATTGCACTTGCATCAGTGTTGCTGGGCCTGGCAATACGTGGAGTGGCTGAGATCGTCAGCTCGAGACAGGCCGTGCGACTCGGAGATGTTTCTTTGTACGCGGCAGGTCGACTCAAATTTTCCAGAATCTCGAGCATTCCTGAAGAGGCCTTGCAGCGAAGAGCAGTAATGAGTTCTATAGTTTACGTCCCATCAGCGCGAAAACCTATCCGCTATCATTTGGGAGCACAACAGCAGCCCAAATGATCAGTAATTGCCAGCAGCCGCAGCCGAGGGCGAAGACTTGTACGATTGAGCTGCAAAGGGATCCGAAAATGGATGAAGGGCCCGAAGCTGCTAGAACGAGAGCAATCGTGTTCGTTGCAGGTCCCTAAGATGCAAGGATTGAAGCTGTTTCGATACGTGTGCGATCATCGCGCTAGCTTCAAGTGACAAGTCATGGAAGTCCACTTGCACATTAGCGTGGTCGATTCCGAATAGCGTAAGCAGGGCGCCTGGATGCCAAAACGTATGCTACGACAACTCTCCCCTAGATCCTTGACTCCCTTGCCAAGATATCCGTCGACATGTGAATGCAAGAATTTCTCTGCAAGGCATTCAAGTGAAGACATGCAGCTTGAGAGCAATTGTTTCTCCATCCAGCGTGATCGAAATCTTGAACGCAGCCTAATGCGAGTGCACACACAAAAGCTTGAGAGGAGCTCTTATCGTCGCGCATCTGCTCTCATCAGCCCAACCTGAACCAGTTGCTAGCATCATTACTCAAAACAACCCCGAGGTGGAAAGAACCAGAGTACCGTCCCCACGAATGCAGCCCCGCCAGATCTCCAGACCCAACGCAAGCACCCATCAAGCCTCCTTCCCCTTCCTCAACCCCCACCCGAAATACTCAAAAGAACTCCCACCCCCACCCCCCAAAACCTCCATCTCCATCTCCCACTTCCCCTCAGGGTTAAGCAAAGGCTTCATGAAATGCGGCTGTCGATACGTAACGTAAAGAAAAACCCCATCGTCTTTCAAAACACGCCGAACCTAGCAAAACCCTCTCGAATCAGCTGATATGGTGCAAAATTTCCAAACTCGCTCTCGTCATATCAAATTTCGCTCGTTTGGAGACTCGTTCACTTACTCACCTCATCTAAATACCTCCCACAATTCCCAACCACATCTTCAGGTGGACTCCACGGACTTCCATGAATCATCGCGTCAAGAGTACCTTTGTCAAACGCCACGTCCACAGAGTTCGAAGCGATGGTATCCGACATGTCTCGCACATCGGCACATATCCATTCAATCCCCGAGGTGACAGCATCCGCTCGGCTGTTCATAAGATCGATGACGACTTGTGAGAAGTCGATACAGATCTGATTCGCATATCCGAGCTTCGCGAGGTCGAAAGGGATCGTCTACATTGTTGATTATTAGTAGGATCGGCGGCGTCCTCGGGATTATGTGTTTGGGGTGGCTTACGCTATCGCCGGAGCCTAGGTGGAGAATTCTGGGATTTGATTTTGTGGTGGGGAGGAGATGGCGGTCGAGGAACGGTTTGAGGGCTGAGAATGTTTGGAACCATTCGTGGGTTGGGGTTGAGCCGTCGGATTTCGAGTAGCGCGTGTTCCAGAATTCGGGGGTTGCGAGGGCTTTGCCTTCTTCTGAGGGTCCCATAGTTGGAAGGGGTGTTGGGAAGGGAGATGGGAGTGGGAGAAATTTGTGGATGGAAGGTGTGAGGTGAGGTTGGGTGTTTGTTAAATATTGATTGGAGTTTTGATTGAGGGATTGATTGGGCACTTCTTGATGGATTGCAGTGTCCGGTCTCCTCTAGGGGTGGGTGACATTCGTGCACATGCTGAGCAAGGAGATGGTCACCGGCGTGGCATTGATTGATGCGGCAAAAGGGACGAAATGCAGAAGAAAGGCAAAGACTGAAAATATGGAACGAGAGTGATGTGATATTGTAAACTGTGAGCAGTGAAGAACTGCTTCCATCACGACTATGAAGACTTGTAACAGTAGTCAATATTGCCGGAGGAATTATTGCCCCAGTAAGAAGCTGTAGGGGGTCAGCAATAGAGTCATTTGAGACCAGAGGCGACACTTACGGAATGCAACCGCTGCTCCTGCAGCCCCAAGCACAGCAAACGATAAGATGAAGACCATGACCGATGTCCCACCGTCCAATGCTGCTGATACAAGGTAGTTGTATCTCACGAACAGATTCGGATAGTGCTTTCTGATGAACCACTGCGAGGTGAAGCCGATGATGAAGAACATCATCAGCGACGAGTTGATGCCAACATTGAGATAGCACAGGTAGAACAGGATGACCGGAGTATTGACATGGTTCAGCCCAAGCTTCGGCCATTTGCGGTGCGCAAGCCAGAATGGGACGGGCGCGAGAAATCCGAAGAACATCGAGAGCGGGACCCACTCATATATTCCACCAACGCTGAAGAGCTGATGTGGTAAGCCACCAAATGTCACGGCTTGAGCATTGAACTGCTGCGCCTGATTGCCCGACCAAATATTGGTGCCCTCAACACTGCGTAGGATTTCAAATTGGTTGGTGATGATGCTATTGGCCATGATATAGTTGAAGACGACTCCAATCAGAGTGCCGAGCATCTGGACGAAGAATGTGACTCTTGGCGCGAGATGGCCATACTGAGCAAGCTTGAGATCCTGGGCGAGTGACTTGCCCTGCAAAAGAGCATTATAGCCGTAGAGAGAGAAGTACATGTTCGCGACAGGATTGCCAGGCTGGATGTAGCCGCCGATCATCTGCACGATGGACTGGATGCTAAAAGGAACTCCAGTGATGCCTTGCATGGAGCCCAGAAGGACGATGAGAACGTAGCCGACCAAAGAAGCAATGAAGAAGCCCCACCACGGAAGTGTGCTATTCGCTTGATAGATGACGATGAGCCCCACGACAAGCGACAAGATGAGGACGATACCAAACCACCAGTCTGGACACTCTTTGTACGATTTCATGAAAGCGTAGTGCGGATCATAATGGTCCTTCCATTCCTCATCGTCAGCCCGAGCGCCCGGAGTAAATGCTCGGCGTACTGTTACCGGCAAGTCGCGGATGGAGCGGTAGAGGGTTCGTGGATCGAGGAATGAGAATGCCACCTTGACTTCGTCCGGATACCAGATGAACAAGTGGACTAGCGCAGCGGCAATGCACATGTTGGTGAGGAGCAAGTTGAGTACGTTGGAAGCAGAAAAAGCAGGCAGGCCGAGATCTTCCACAGCGGTCATGTTAATGCTGTTGTCTGGTGTTATGACGAATGATTGATTGTACTGCACAACATTTTCGACGGTCGAGGTGTCGGAGAAAATGAGTTGCGTCAGGAATGGGTATTTGGTAGCGTTCCAGATGTTGCCATAGTAGACACCAGCGAATAGCACGATGCAACCGCAAACGCCGATGCCCTGACTGATCAAACTGCTGATTGGGAAGTACAGGGGTGAGTAGCCTCCAGAGATGTACTGCCAATCAAGGCAGATTGAGAAAAGGCCCAGGCCTTCATTGCCCTGCGCACCGCCAAAGATGTTGGTAAACAGTTTACTCCTGCGATTCGCCAAACAGAAGACGCTGATACCCGTAAGGATTGGCATGATCCATTGTGGGAACAGCTCCCAGATGAAAATTGCGGCAAAGACCAGGAGAAAGACTCGAAGCGGCTTCCGACCTTCGGGTAGACGGAGGTGAAGGTTCTCCAGCATGGAATTGATGGGAATGTTCGCCGGCCACAGCATGACCTTGGGGTAGAGCATAGTGCGACGCATCAAGCCGGCGATTCCATAGCCCATGAACTGAGACGAGAGGAGCAGAAACACGGAAATCGCCGCATTCAGCTTCCTGTCGTAGTAGAGCCTCTCGACAGCAATGATCTCTAGTCCAAGGGCAGATATGCTTGCGGAGTTTGCCATGATGGTGATGGCAAGATGCTCCTTGATGTTGAATGGACACGGGTTCAAGAATCTGCCGATTCGTCCTTTTCGAGGGATGATGCGTGACATGCTTTCTCCGAGCATGAATGCCAGGACGGCTAAAAACACCGCTGGGAGCTCAACGGTCTGCGGCTTGAAGTAGTAGATGCCGGAGAGCACGCCGCCGAAGATGGACAGACCAACACCTATGAGGCCGCCTGGTCAGAAGCGTGGCGTGGCGTGAGCGGGGCGATTCCTGTTCCCAACCTACCTATGAACATGGAGCGGAAGGTGATGGCCGGCAGTGATGGGTCATCATGAAGATGAATCGTATTCGTGATCACGTCGTCGGCGGTCGCTGGTGCCGTGAGCGCGTGGACCTTGCCATTCACCGAGTCGTGCTCCTTCTCCTCGATGCCTATGGGCTCCATGGGAGCTTTTGCGCGGCCTGAAGACTCCTCAGCAGCCTTCGGGTCGTGGAAAGTCGATGCGCGCGCATTGTAGCCACTGCCACTCTCGACCTCGGTAGTCTGCGGGCGTTCTGCGACGTCGACAGATGTCGATTGCGCGCCGGCTGGTGCCTCTTCTTGGCCACGATTCTCCTGGGTGGCCATTGCTGAGCATTGCACCGTCGAGGTTCGTCACGCCTGCATGTGGGCGAGCACGGAGCATGTGGCAGCAAATATTATTCTAATGCACCGCATGCTGGCCTTGGAATATCTGCCGCCCCACCCATGTCGCCTTCGAGGGGGATTGCCAGATTCAGCATCCAGGCCAGGCTAGGCCATCCTTGGCTCCTTTCTATACGAAGGAAAGTTGCGCCTCATAAACAATACGAGCGTCTGTTACGTTTCCTCGCTCTGAACAGTGAAATCGACGGGCGTCCAGCATCAAGACCGCTCCAAAAACGACTGTCGCACAGCCATCACCGAGCACATCTGCCCTTGGACCAACTAGCATGGCGTTGTGTCGTTCTAATAAACCACCGGGTAGCGGGTAGAACTAGCAAAGCTTGGCACAAAGCTTGATGAAAGCTTCTCGCGCATCGAACACGTTCTCTGACTCGCGTCAACTTCGATCTTCACAATGAATATCCTCCTGAGAACACAGAACGATCCATGCGGTCTTCGCATTGTAACGAGTCTACCTGCCAATACCCTCCGCCATGACTGCTGCGGAGCCAGAGAGTGGACGACTGCCTCAAGGGTATGAGCATCGAATATTGCCCCGGACGACGAGCAGCTGACCGTATCACAGCGTCAAGCCTGTGCACTACAGCGTTCAGCTTCACCACCTCAATCTGGCTGGAGATGACTGGACATACAAGGGAAGCGTTGAAATTGACCTCAATGTCAAGGAAGCAACGAACAGGATCGTGCTCAATGCCTACGAGCTGCGCAATGTGTCCGCCAGTCTTTCAAGCGCTTGCAAAGCTGCAGTTGAATCAATTTCAATCGACGAAGATGTCCAGCGGCTCAATATCTTTCTGGACAGGGAGCTCGCGATAGCTGATTCCGGGACACGCTTGACCCTGACCTATGAAGCTACCATCGATGACCATTTGACAGGCTTCTACCGATCTCAAGAGGCCGGTGGTCCAGAGGACGGTGCTCAAGACTATGTGCTCACCACCCAGTTCCAACCATCAGATGCACGCAGTGCCTTCCCTTGCTGGGACGAGCCCGAGTTCAAGGCGACCTTCGATCTATCCATCGAAGTGCCGAATGACCTTACCGTCCTCAGTAATATGCCCAAAAAGGCATCAGGACCAAGCACCCATGATGCCAATCGTAAAGTGGTCGCATTTGAGAGAACGCCTGTCATGAGCACCTACCTCCTAGCCTGGGGTATAGGAAAGCTCGAATGCATGGAGACAATCATTGCTCGAAATTTCAGCGACGCCCCTCTGCCAATCAGAGTATGGGCTCCTCCATCTTCGTTGCAGCATGGAAAGTTCGCCTTGGAGTTTGCAGGACAAGTCATTACTTACTTCTCAAAGGTAGGAGTCAATTTCCGCTTTGCATAGAGGAGTTCTCTGAACGTGAGCACAGATTTTCGGCATCGACTACCCTCTCCCCAAACTCGACCTCTTGGCAGTGACAGAAATGTCGGATGACGCTATGGAGAACTGGGGTCTGGTCATCTTTCGATCAACAGCTCTCTTACTTGACGAGGCAGCAACGAGTTTGGAAGCGCGTACACGAGTCGCTTACATTATTGCTCATGAGCTGGCTCATCAATGGTTCGGCAACCTTGTCACTATGACATGGTGGGATGAGCTGTGGCTCAACGAAGGCTTCGCAACGTGGGCAGGCTGGGATGCGTGTGACCTCCTCTATCCAGAATGGGACGTGTGGGGCCAATTCGTGGCGGATGACATGCAAGAAGCGTTAGACTTGGATGCTCTGCCGTCGAGTCATCCTGTACAGGTACCGGTGTTTGATGGCTTGGAAGTGGATTCCATCTTCGACTCCATCTCATATCTCAAAGGAGCCTCAATTGTTCGTATGCTGATCGGCTATCTTGGCCGCGAAATCTTCTTACGAGGAGTCTCGGATTACCTCTCGGCCAATGTGTATCAGAGTGCCACTGGCGAGAGTCTCTGGTCGGCCCTGAAGAAGGCTTCTGGAAAGGATGTCGCATCACTGGTCGAAACCTGGATCACGACCATGGGCTTTCCAGTAGTTTCGGCGCAAGAGATCGACACCGAAATACTTTCTGTCAAACAGGTGCCCGCTGTGGCCCAAACCGAGAATACGATCTGGACCATTCCTCTCACGCTGCAGTCTACGAATGGAACAACAAGCAAGGCACTCTTAGAAAGTCCCTCCAGCCAATTTGGCATCGACGGAGCTCTGATGAAGCTGAATGTAGAGCAGCAAGGATTCTATCGATCTCAAATCAATGTTCAAGCATTGCTTGATCCCAGCATCTCGCTCACGAGCCTGTCTACACGAGACAAAGCAGGCTTACTGGGCGACGCAATGGCTCTAGCCTTCAATGGCCTCGGCACTCCAACCTCCACAGTGCTAGACCTCATAAAGAAGATGAGCAACGAAGCAGATTTCGTCGTCTGGACCAGCATCCTTTCCTGCGTAGACAAAATCTCCTCAACATTCTCCACAGACGAAGAAATCAGCGACGGCCTCAAAGAATTCGAACTCAATCTCGTATCCTCCAAAGCCCATTCCCTCGGCTGGTCCCCCAATCCCCACGAAACATACAGTACGCAGCGTCTAAGACCTTTACTCCTCACCACCGCCGGCCTCAACGGCGACGAAAAAACCATTCAAAAAGCAACCGAATTCTTCACCTCCATAAAACGAGGCCACAACCCCTCCCTCCACCCCTCCCTCCTCGACCCCGTCTTCCAAATCGTCGTCTCAACCCTCGGCCTCGACGCAACATCCTACCTCATGAACCTCTACCCCAAAACCCCTTCCCCGCACGAACGCGAATCAATCGCCAAAGCCCTCGCCCAAATCACCTCCTCAAGCGAAGCAATGCAATGTCTCCACTCCACCTTCTCATCCCCCATGACACCCCAAGACCTGGAAACCTTGGCGGTAGAAATGGCCGAGAATCCCGCCGTGGCGGGCGTCGTGTGGACGTTCATGAAAAACGAATGGGAATTGGTTTGCGAGCGTCTCGAGGGGTCGATGGCGATTTTCGAGCCTTTTGTCAGAAGGTGTTTGCAGACGTTGAGTTCGAGGGAGGAGGGGAGAGAAATCGAGGGGTTTTTTGAGGGGAAGGATACGTTGGGATATCGGAGGGGGGTGGATGTTGCTTTGGATTTTGTCCGGGCGAATGCGAGGTTTCGAGAGAGGGAGAGGGGCGTTGTGGGGGAGTGGTTGAGGGGGAATGGGTTTGTTGCGAGGACGCCGCGGACTGGTTCGGATTGGGAATGATTTTCTTGGAAGGCTGGGTTCCGTGCTGCCAATATCATCATTAGCAGGGCCTTGGACAAGAATATCTCCATCTATCACTCACTCACTCACTCACTCACTCACTCACTCACTCCTGGGATTTCTCTCCTCCTCCTTCCGCTCGATCTTGCTCATACTGTTTCTTAAGGCGCGACAACACTTCGCCCTAGAACATAGTGGCATGTGAGATTCGGTCGGCTGACCGTAACTGCCCTGCGCGACCACTCCATATGACAAAAAAAAGTTTTCCAGCTCGGGAAGACGTAGTTTGATTTGAGCATTTCCTACTATCATGCACAATCGTGACCGGCCGGCTTGCCACTTCAACACAAGAACAGAAACCCTTCTCCTGACGATTCGCAATCGAGATGCCATGTAGAAGATTCGGAACATGTCCACTGACATTCAATTGCTTATGACTGATACAGGTGGCGTGAGCCTCTGATTGCAACGCTATACAAGCGTAAACAGTATCCATCTTCCGAGGCCTGTGTCCTCGATACTGCATATACATTCATCTCTTCATAACTCATACCCCCATCCTCGATGCCCTCTTTTTTTCCTATCTCACAACCCCATCATTTCGCCCCGCGGTAGGTGGAGGGTACTGCGGAGGCCGATACATTCCGGGCTGCGCATTGCTTCCAGAAAAATCCTGAGCAGCACCACCAGGAGGATAGTGTCCATGATAAGCCGGAGGATTGTAAGAAGGATTTTGGGTTCCGTAGTAGCCCCCTTGTTCCGCATAAACATTCGGCTTATTCTCCGTCGCGTGGGTGACCGGGCCGCGAGCTGCCCAGCCGGTCCCGTAGAAGGGCTTTCGTCCGTTTTTGCGGCGTTTACGCGCGGAGATGCAACTGGTGGTTGTCAATAAGGATAGGTAAAGGTGATTGATTGACTGGAAGTGCGACTTACGCGAATAGGAGGGCGATGAGAAGGACAACACCAATTACCACTGCGAGCAGAACCCATCTTCCCCAGTTTCCCCATCTGCTGCCTCGGCAGACGGTGCGGCCGAATGTGTTTCTGTAGCAGTATGCCATGTTGATGAAAGCAAGCTTGTGATCGCACGGCTCAAGTGTCGGAAATTTGGGTTGGTAATAAAGACGCGCGTGTCGGACTTGGAACGTGGGTGTTCTTTGTTTGTATATGTGCCACCTGATGCGGGCAGTGCTGGTGGCAGTCTTGCTCCATTCATGGCATGGATGACGCTAAAAGGAATCACATGCGTCAGCCAAGGCATCAAGCAAAAACTTGACTGCTGCGCCTCAGATCTATCAATGCGCCACACTTGCCCAGGATATATCGATATATCATACGCCTCTGTGCTCAGCCTGCACAGGCGCATGTTGACTGACTTGTTATGCCGAAGTCATAGCGACTTCATCCAAACTCGTCTCTATTTGCTGGATTTGATCGTACAACCCTGGCGCATTACTGCCTTTTGGGGGAAATCTGGCCGCAATCTTACTACAACTTTTGCTCCGCTGTACTATCCGTAAAGATATGTCTCGAGGCTGAAGTGGTGAAAATAAAGGAAAGTCGAAGAGTGTGTGTTTGGCAAGCGTAGAACGGACGGCCGCTGCAGATCCTTGCACCCTTGCTGGCGTGCGAGGAACAGTCTTGGCGAACATGGCATGATGGACGACGAGATGCTCAACATGCATGTGATTGTCACATGACCACTGTTGTCGAGCCGGCCCTTCAACATCTCCATTGATTCTATGCACCATTCCGTGACACGCTGTTGGGAGTGCCGCCGCCTTGACTGCCCTAGAGTCAAACAGCCGAGACCATGTCGATGTGGACATCCGGAAGTCCAGCGCCAAAATGACACGTCGAACGGAACTGAAAGATGACCAGTCGACTATCGTGACTGCTTGACAAACGCCATGAAGCCGCGACAAACAGCCTTTCAACCTCGCCCAAGAATGGCGAGTCAAGCAGCCAACTTTCTTGAACTATCATCTCCCACCCCCTGACCTGCAAGATCAAACCCTCCAACAATGGCACGTCCATACAGCTGCGATGAGTACGGCTGCACCAGGTCATTCCCATCGCCTAATGCCTTGGAGCACGTGAGTGAACAGTTTCGTGTTGGCCATGGAGACCGACTAACTATGGCAGCACCGAATCACCCACCTCACCCGATCAGTCCACTGCTACGGTTGCACGCGAATGTTCACCACCTACCATGGCATGATCATCCATCTCGAGGCTGGTAACTGCACTTCTGGCATCGAGATGCGCAGGGTCAATCGCCTCGCAGCGCAGTGCTTCCAATGGAAGCAATACATCGTCAAACACTTTCGTGAGGAGCTCAGGGGCAGCCATGTTGGATATCGAGGAGATCCTGCGAATCGCCCATTCAAATGCCCGACCTGTACGAGCACCTTTCCTCTGTTATCCTCGCTCTTTATGCATATACACAGTCCTTCGTGCGACCAGACGATAGGAGGCGGCGCCATCGGCAAGCTGAAGAAGTGGTTGAGGAAGAGCTTGAAGAGGATGAAAGTGCGGAACTGAGGCGATGGCGGTGTTGCCGCGACATATCATGGCACATCTCTGCGCCCAATCGAAAGGGACAGCATCGTGCTTCGGACTGGAGATGAGGATATGGGCAGCACCGTCTCGGAACTGATCTCTGATTCTTGATTATCTGCCGATTTTTTCTTGATTGTCACACCTCAGGATGAAAATCCTTTGACGCCGTATACCGCCGACCAACAACTCCATGCTCTTATCTATACCGGCTCAACCAATCCTATGCATATTCTGGACTTTCAATCACTTTCCATCCTTATGACCGTACGCCGACTCATTCAGTGTCTTGCCAAATGGTGCCCCACCTCCAGATTCGCCCGCTTTCTGAGGCACAATGTGCTCCTTGAAGTGTTTGGAATCGATGCCCTTAGGATTCATCTGGTTCGATGTGACATGATCAGGATCACCTCCTTCCAAGTCAGGTTGCGTCAGGAAGAAGAGCTGCCAATGACAGCGAGGGAGACTGACCTAGTTTTGTCGCTATGGCCGGAGTATGTGTCTTACTCGCTCCGCCAGCAGAGAACCGATTCGCAACGTTTTGTGATCCGAAGGTCTCAATCCTGACATTCTAGGTCAGAGGGGTAATATGCAATGGGGAAGGAGGCAGCATACGGTGCAGTTCGTTTCGAGCCCAAGTAGGCTATTACACCAACCACACCAGCACCAATGGCAGCGTTTCGCGGCGTTAATATCTTCGACATGTTCAATAGTGATGTGCAAAGTGCTTGTTTTCCAGAGATAACAGATGCAGACAAAAACCTGAGTTAGAAGTGACGTAGCTGTGAATGAGCATGTAGAGAAGCAGCAAGGAGTCTTTGTGACGAACAGCAGAACATTCCACAGGCTCTGCACTCTGGTTCCAGCCCGTCAACTGGTCGTCATAGACCTAGACTCTCGGTTCTACCCGCTCTAGCGCCATCTAAACTTTCTCCAGAACCCGATAAAGTTCATACCCCTGCCGATTGCGGAGGCGGGTCCGCATGTGAAAGCAAAAGTTGAACCGACGTCAATCAAGCACAAAACGTAACGCAACCCAATATGTCCACATCAAGCATGGCTCACCCGACCCGTATCACAGTCCTAATATCCGGCTCCGGCAGCAATCTCCAAGCCTTAATCGACGCCTCCCACCCACCACCCCAACCCCCCAAACTCCAAAACGTCCAATTCGTCCGCGTAATCTCAGACAGAAAATCCGCCTACGGCCTCCAACGCGCCGAAAAATCCGGCATACCCACCGCATACCAAGGCATAATCCCCTACCGCAAATCACACCCGGACGACGAAGATTCCGCCCGAAAAGCCTACGATACCGACCTCGCACATTTGGTCCTATCCGACTCCCCCAACCTCATCATCTGTGCCGGTTTCATGCGGATCCTTACTCCGAACTTCCTGGACCCTATCACGGAGGCGGGAATTCCGATTATAAATTTACATCCTTCGCTGCATGGCGATCTGGTGGGGGCGCGGTGTATTGAGAGGGCTTGGGAGGAGTTTCGGGAAGGGAAGAGGACGAAGACGGGGATTATGGTTCATTATGTTATTTCGGAGGTTGATGAGGGGGAGCCGATTTTGCAGCAGGAGATTGAGATGGAGGGGTGCGGGACGTTGGAGGAGTTGAAGGATAGAGTGCATCAGGCGGAACATGTGCTTGTTGTGGAGGGGGCGAGGAGGGTGGTTGAGAAGGGGAGGGCGGCGTGAGGTTTGCGGCAACTTGGGGATCATGGTTTCGCAAGAGCTGGGCTTCGGGTATGCGGATTTCCATGCGCATACCCTGGACGTCGGGCTGCATGTCCATGTCGTTTACTTGAGAGTCTCTGAGGTGAAGGAAGGAAGCGCAGGAGAACAATACCGCCTGATTCGTTCGAAACCATGATGGGAAACCAAACGGACTTCGAGACTCTGCTGTTGCTCCCGACGAGCAGCAATCGGCCAGGTCTCGGAGCGACTAGCACAAGAGTGAGGGCGACCCTTGGTTGTGGTCAAACTCGACTCATCATACGTGAGCTTCAAAATTCCAATGCGGGGATTCGATACGCAGCCCCGAAAATGATCTGCTCAGATCAAATCAAATACCAGCTCGCAATCCATAAAGCTATCCAAGCCTGACCTCGTCCTCCACAACTTCGAACCGCACCAATGACTCCTCGTCCTCAACATCACATCCCCTCTCTCCACCTTCTCAACACCAACCCACCCTGCCCTGTCCCCTCCGACAACCCGCAACCCCAACCGCAATCAAAACATGTCCTCACCTCGGCTAAAACCCATTCCACCGACAACGAGAGTCCAGAAAAGTCTCTAGTCCGTCCCTCTCCGTTGCGCTTAAAGAGGAAGATGAAAACGGCGAAGTATATGAGTGCTAGTAATTCAATGGTGTAGTTGAAGACTTCCAAGATTTTGAAAAGAAAGCAACGGTCGATTTGGATATGATGGTGTACTGCTTGCTATCCGTCGACGAGGTCGAAGAAATCGAAATCGTCGGTGCTCGGAAGGATTTTGTTAGGAGATATTGGTTGGGAGGAACATGGTTTTGTTTGTTCGGAGATAGATAGATGGAACTCAAGGTCGGTGTGGTTGGTTGCTTTGGTGCAAACAAGAGCGATAGAGGTTGTGGTTTATAGATTTTTTTTTTTTTTTCAAAAAAAAGTGTCCTCAAGAAATCCTATCAGAGCTTTTCGGCGCGGAATTATTGGTCTTAGTTGAGGGAGGGTAGAGATATATTTTAGTATCATGGGCACTAGGACGAGAATACATGTATACATCGATACCGATAAAATTTCTGAAATGGTATTTCGTTCGGCACATGAGAATTCTAATAGCAACGTGAGTACATCGATCGAAGAATTACAACAGCATCTCAGTCCATCACTCCCTCCCCTCACCACCCCATAAACCCGTAGCGCTCCGTGTACGAGATCAATAAGTAATCCGTCGATCCAATCTATACAACCCCCCACTCCTAGGAAGTCGAGCATAGTACCTCGGATCATACACAACGCCACCATCAACTTGCTCCGCCAGATCATACAGATACGCACAAAGCTCTTTCAGCCTTTGAGATCTATATCTCATATCATTGACTCCATCAATGACTTTTCCAATTGCTCTGATGAGACGACGAATGTATGCTCTCGAAGCGGGTTGGCCGCGGAAGAAGTCGTGGATTTGTTCGAATGTGTCGCCGTGTTGACGGTAGAGATTCGACATTTCCTGGCTCGGGTTGTTAGTACAGGTGGAGTGGGCACATGTAGATGCTTATGCTTATGCTTACGTATCCTGGAGCGAAGTTCTGCCAGAGATAGCACCACTGACAGATGGAGTGCTGGTGGCCGGAGTCGTAGTATGGCACGGAAGATCCGTACATGAGTCCGTATGATTGAGTGTTTGCATCTCCGCAATGTGGGCAGCTGCACCAGCTGAAACCGTAGGACGACATCAGGGTGGATGATAAGTTTGATGGATCAGGGCTGAGGGGTTGAAGAAAGCGTAGGTAGCCACGATTGGATGGTGCCTGGGGTTGGCGTTGTTGATCGATTCGGATTGAGACGAATGGTGTCCAGAGCTGATGGTAAGACTTATATTACCTCGAGCGATATGCTGCGGAAGCTGGTGTGTCACACAGTGCTGCAAACAGGGCAACGATGCAGACCGCTCGTTCTTCGCTGTTGTGACGACCGGTTCATGCCTAAGCCCCGGCGGGAGCTGTTCCCCAGATGCAAGAAGCAAATTGCACTATTCTTGGCCAACGAGGCGGTGTTTAAGGTAGCACGGATCGCCTTTGCGCGCTTCGTCACGCTGTATGAACGTGGTGTTCACGCGGGTGTTAGCTTTCGCCGACAGCTTGAGCAGGAACCACAAAACAGGAGGTGTCGAATCGGTCCTGTGACCAAGCGAAGTCGTACTCGTTCGGGCGAAGGTGTGTGACTTGCGCTGCAGTCCTCAGCACGACAATTGCCTTGACCATGGCTATGGTACAAATGACAGTCGGCTGCGTCAGGTGAGTGGATGCCTTATACGATTATGCAGGTCGCACTGCAATCGGAAGAAGACCCGCGCATGTCGAGGGCTCGAGTATTGCCTGTTTAGTCGGTAATTTGTGCCATGTAGTACTTCGAGGCAATGTGATGCCTTGAAAAAGAAGTTATAGCCATATCGCCGACTTATCCTAACAATTGAAACGTGACTCCAATGTCAAGAAAGGAGTGACGACGAGGAGACCAAGATCTTCGTAGTGGAGCACCAGTAGTCCTTTCGGCACCGTTGACGTCGTGCAATTGCGTCAGCCTGTGCTGATAAGAAAGTGCTTACCTGTGTTTCTCATAGGTCTTACTGGGTGAAAGCTGCTCGAAAGCAGATGCGCGCGGAGTCCGTCCGCGATACAGTGCCGGCTCGTGACTCTTGAAGTCGCTCGCCGCTAGGATTAAATTATGAAAGCGACAAATGCTGTCATGCAGTGACACGCCAGCGAAGCTGCTAGGCACAACCTTCTTGGTTTCGAGAAGCCGCGTGGACTGTTTGATGTAGCTATCGTGAGATTTCGAGTGGTTGGTGACCATGGAGGTATGCGCTCGGAGAACACCTGATGTCATTAGTATGGCGAAAGATGCAGAGGCATAGTTGAGAAGAGTGTGTGATGCGAAGAATCACCACATTGCAGTCCGTCCGAAGCGCGGACTTTGCGTGCATTAGCGAGGAAGGACACCCAATTCTCCACAGAAGAGAGAGTGCCGGTGGGATCTTGGTGTTCCTGGCTGCTCAAGGGAAGGCACAGCGGATTCTGCGACTGAACCTGCAGCCATTGAGTCTCCTGGGCTACCCAAACCATTCGCTTGGAAATGAAGGAGTGGCTGTGCGAGTGCTGGCTATTTCGGAGGCGCCGGCTGTGCGGTGCTTGATTGTTGAAATGGGTTCCAGATGTCCGCTGCCGATCTTGTGTATTGAATAGCTGCACAGCGTGGCACCGAAGCATCTCATGAACTGTGTGAATGAGCACATGCCGATCTGGCTGGACAGTGATCGGCAAGCACATCAACGAGTTGACAAACCAACACGATGTACGCGCACAGTCCGATATAGATTGAGGAGTACGCAGATGTCATGGCTGAGGCTGATTCCGAGGCGCACAAGTGCTCCAACATGGTCTACGAAGCACCATGTGTTGATGCAGTCTCAGCCAGCAAACTTGTCATGTATCAGCCTCCGACTGTTTCAGCCTTGTGTGGTGCTTCCTGCCTCTGCTATTCACGGAGCATAATGTCATGATGTAGGTTTCTCTCTCTTTAATGTCGTTTCTGCATCTCTTTGGGAGGCGTGTTGGGCTCGTTGTAAGCAAGCCTGGCAGGCCGAATTTGGATCGTGGAGGATCGATGCTCGAGCAGGACATGGTGGTGTTTATGACGAAGACCGGCGGCTTCGTCAATGATACACATTCCTCAATCAGTGGTAGTCAGTTCCGGATGGCGACGAGCATAGAGTGGTGATGCTGGACTTCGCTTTATGTCGTTTTCGAAAGCCCGAGGAATCTGATGCGGAATGGGGCCGCGCGCAATGGCGTCCAGATGAGGAAGGTGCTATCGGCGCGGTCGTATGCAAACAAGATTGGCCAAATTGGGCTTTGAGCTGCGATTTGAGAAATCCGATCAGTGGCTTGAGTGGGCGCTTGGAGAGGATGACGATGGTTGATGCAGTCTGCAGTTCCGAATGGTGCGGCTGGTATTATTCTCAGCGACAAAAACCCTGAGCTTTTTGAGCCGCACTTCCTTAGCTCTGCCTCTTATACTAATTTGGTGACAAACTGAGCAATTAGCTATCGCTGTATCCAGTCTATAATTCCAATAATTGGTGTTGTTACTCGTTATTATTCTTGCTATCGGTCTATCGAGTTTCTACCGCTACGATCGCCGCCGCTATCGCTATACCTTACTATCGCTTCTTCTACCGCGCCCTAGACTCGCCTTCGAGGTCTTTCTAGTTAATATAGCGCCTCTTACTAAGCAAGATAAGGCCATTATTAGATAGCTATTAGTAGATAGTATATCGGCGAAGGACATCTAGTTATCGTAGCGTAAAGAGCATTTAAATAGGTCGTTTATAGTAGTAAAGCGGTATAGTACGAATTAGAAGAGGTTACGTTTAGTCTATAGCTAAGGATAACTAGGCCGGCCGAAGAGGATATTGCTATATATAAGGGATTTTATAATAGACATTCTTACTACTAAAGATACGACCTAGATAGACGAGATATAAGACTAGTTATTACTTAAATTCGGGACCTATATTAGTATAAGGATAATAGAGCGGTATGTCTACTAGAAGGACTTTATATACAAAGTCGTATAGCGGAAGGCTTCTTAACGCTCTAAAGAGGTAGAACTTATATACCTAATTAATATATCTTACTAGATAAGCGAGTAGATTGTCTTTATAGACGAGATATATACTAGTAAGCGATTAGCTATTCGAAGGCGTAGATAGGCACCTAAAGGCTTCCCTTATATAAGCACTTACTATTTATACCGTCTATAACGATATAGTATGCTTCTAGTATATATAATAGACGGCTAGCTTCTAGGTGCTACACTTATTAAGTAAGGCAGTATCGATAGCTAGTCCTTCCTAAATTAGCTTTAAACGAAGGTCCTTCCTTAGTGTAATCTATTTCTAGGTCTACGGTCCGTTATTATTATAGATAACTGCTTAACTTATAATAGAAGAGCCGTCCGCAATATATACCGTTAGTACGGCGTTATTGCTAACTTCTTGCTACTATATTCGCTATATTTGAACCTAATAGAACCTTTATTTAGCTTATTTAAACACTAGATAAAGAGACACTAGGATATAATGCCTAAATATAGTCTAGGAGACGATTAGCAGGCCGCTTTTAAGCGCTTCTTATAGCTAGCAATTAATAGTTAGGGTAAGGGTATAGACTATAGCAAGCTCTTCCGTAGAGCTAGTATTAACGCCTAGTAAGTCGGCTTTATATATCACCTTCTAGCGGTTAGAATAGGGCGATTAGATACAGAAATAAGAGCTTAGTATTAGCGCTATAATAGCATTCAAAAATAGTCCTAATCGGATCGGGTTTAGTCGAGTAGTATCGATTCGAATATAGTATACTGCATTTTATAATAGTGCTAAGACGCCTAGTCGCAAGCTTGTCTTATAGAAGCCGACTCTATATATTTTAAACGTCTATAATATAGTATATATAGTACGTATCGATATACCGATTTTTCGTAAATTATTTAAAGACATATAGAATCGATTAGGAAATGTATCTTCGCTATCTATATATGTTCTATAGTATAGTATTAAGATATATATAGAAAAGCTACGAAAAGCCGAGAGGGTTTAGGGTCTAAAAGCGGGGTCTTAGCGGCACGACTAAGAGGATTAAGGCGACGAAATGTACGTAGTATACACTATATAAATAATATATAGAAAAACTAAATAGACAGGATCTAAGCAAACTATATAGACCGACTTATCTATAACTTTCGTAACGATCTCTTGCGTAGTAGTAGTACTATAGCGCGATTACAAAGCCGACCTCCTCGGCTTGCTATACGCCTAGCCCTCTACTCTATCTTCTACCTCTTCTAGTAGACTTAACATATCCTTAGGTATCCGCTTAGCCCTATAATGCCTTAAGAACCGGTCTACTTTACTCTTTAGCCTAAAATAAGTACCGTCGGAAGGCACCTGTTTACGTAGCTCTATAGCCTTCTCCTTATCCTTGATTATATCTAAGCTCTAGTCCTTAGAAGCTATCTAATCCTGTCCTACCTTAATGCTTATAGCAAGCATTAGATAGCGCTTCCGAAGCTAGCGGCAATAGACAACAAGAACGGCTATATTAGTCTCGTTATTAGCAATAGGCGGACTTAACCGTAGAGCGCTTAGTTAAGGAGCGCTTAACTAAGGTGCCTATAGAGTAATAGGTTGCTAATAATAGTATAGCGGCGGCGGCGGATATAACTATAGATTAGGCAATAGTTAAGGCGCACTATAATAGTAATATTTCTATTATACCGCCGGCTCTTGCTTCTTACCTTTGCTAGCCTTGCCTTAGTCGTTATTGTCGGGGTGTTTAACCCTATAGCACTGTATTATCTCTTCGATAACCTTCTTGTTTAGTGCCTCGACTAAGCACTTGTTATTAAGAGACATCTAGTCCCTCTAGAAGGTTAGTATTGCAGCGGTTAGCTTATAGTATAGACCTATAAGCTTATAATAGCCTATAACGTTAGCCTACCTTCTAAGGGTATACTATAGGTCGATATAGGCGTACGCCCTACGAATAGCCTTATATTACTAAAGCCGGCTGTCGGTCTCGTCTATTATAACCTTATTGCTATCCTTCTTCTTCTTCTATTTGCTAGGCTTAGGCTCTCGAGGTAGTAGACTTAATAGTATATTAATAGTATCGGAAGATAGCGGGTCTGCTTATAAAGAAGGCTGTTGCACTGCCGCCGGTTTACAGTCAATCCTTAGACTAAGTTTAGCAAACGGTGTATTAGCTCTATAGCTCTAGTATTTAGTTATAAGGACCTAAATACTAAGAGGCTTTATCTAGCGGAAGTATTTAAGGATACTAGAACCTTTGCCTATCTATTCTTACTATCCTTCTATTATAAGGAAGTCCTTAGACTAGGGCTTGCTATTCTTTACTAGTAGGGCTTATATCTCGCAATAGCGACGGATTAAGCAGTAGTTGAAGCTATTCTTAGTAGCGTAGATTATTACCTTCGTAGAAGCCTCGTTAATTAACCGTCGAATAGGTACGGCACTATCGCCTATAATACTATAGTCCTTGCTAAGGTCTTTACGGTTAAAGTAGACCTACAGCTCGACGTTAATAGCATCCGGTTTAGGTATTATAGAAGCCCTTAAAGCTACATTCTTCGCAGTAGAAGTAGCTTTAATAGTAGAAGAAGAAGCCTTCTTCTTAGTCGGCTTTAGTATAGCCTCCTCGATAATAGCCTTCTTAGGCGGCTTCTTAGCCCTCTTAGTAACCCGTATAATAGTAACTTCTTGCTTAATAGCCTCTAGAAGAGGCTCGTCTAGTAGAGGCTCGTCTAGTAGAGGTTCTTCTAGTAGAGGTTCTTCTAGTAGAGGTTCTTCTAGTAGAGGTTCTTCTAGTAGAAGTATATTACTTATTAGCGAGCTAATATCGCTTTATTAAGTCTTAGCGACCTTAGTAGCCTTAAATTAGACCTTCTTTACCTTCTTCGAGGCACTTGTTAAGTTGTTATTAAGCTTGCCCGAGAAGTCCTCCTCTTACTCGTAGACTAGCTACTAGCCTAAGTAGCGGCAACCTCCGCTTCCAGCTGTTTTGCTAGCAAATAAGCATCTTTAGCGCTCTTCGGCGTACGCTTCTTAGGAGGCATAGGAGGTAGTAGTAGGGACTATCGAGGTTAGCTTTATATCTAACTTCTCGTCCTTCTAGTCTACCTTCTTACGTCCTATAATAAAGCAATATCTACTAGATCTCTTTTAGTATATATTAATCCTTCTTCCGCCGCTATAATATCGTCGGTATTATCGTATATTAAGGCGTCGCTTAGTAGTAGTGTTTCTTCGAGAATTAGAGGTAGAGGAACCGTATAGATTTGCGACAAGTTAGGCAATTTAGTCTAGTCCTACGTGTCTATACCTTATAGTAGAAGCAATAGCGACGAAGATTCTTATTGTATTATATATTAACTCGGTGTCTTGCGATTATAGTATATATTAGTGCATTATACAAACCGTAGAATGCTAAGAAAGTAGAAAATAGGTATTTAGCGGGTCGACTTAGTAACTCGCTATACGCCCTAGTATCTGCGTTATATTCTTACGTAATAACAATACTACTAATTAGGTCGATATCTATATTAGAATAAAGCTGCGAGCTTATAGTATTTATTAGGAAATTAATAGAATTTATTAGTACAGTATATTAGGAATAGTAGTAGAATTAGTATAATAGATAGTATAGGGGCGGCATTAGCTGCCCCGTAGCTTAAAAAGCTTAGGGTTTTTGTCGCTAAGAATACTGTGCTGCTAAGGTAAGCGTGCCTACCTCGCGCTAGTTACGCGAGGTTCGTAGACCCTACTAGTTTGTTAGCAACCGCGAATCTATAGTAGTTTCTCGTACCTAACTCGCTCGTTGTAAGAAAATAGATATATATAGCAACGTATAGAACACCCTCTACTAATCGCCGTAGTAGAAAGTAGAACTAAACCGTGCCTTTTTTAGAATAGGGCAGAGCGTTTACTATTAACTAGGCTACGTACGGATAGTATATATGCTAAGCCGGCAACCGAGTATGTCCGTATAAGCGACTAAGCTTTTCCGCGTATGCGCTAAGCAGGCTTTACGCCGGCGAGACAGCACCGCAGTATACGTAATAACATTATATAATTGTTATATAGGCTTACTAAGGTATAACAGGAGACTTTACTTACTTAGGTTCTTATAATTATCTCCTTCCCCCGGTATAGCTATCCTAGCTATAGGGCAATATAGTAAATTATACTATTTCTTATACTCTACGCTACACTTGCGCGTCTTATACGTACTTGTCGCTAGGCTATAGTTGCTAGGTACGTTATAATTTGCCTCGTAGTTGCTTGTTTGTTTATAGATTTAAAGCGTAGCTACTTCTAGCACTAACTAGAGGTTGCCTAAATTTCTAAGAACGCGGTAGCTACGCGAGAACGTAAGCTGTCCGAAAGCGAGGCGAGTATTTA